GGACTTACACAAACAGACAGTACAACGGACTTACACAAACAGACAGTACAACGGACTTACACAAACAGACAGTACAACGGACTTACACAAACAGACAGTACAACGGACTTACACAAACAGACAGTACAACGGACTTACACAAACAGACAGTGCAACGGACTTACACAAACAGACAGTACATGGACTGACACAAACAGACAGTGCAACGGAGTTACACAAACAGACAGTACCACGGACTTACACAAACAGACAGTGCAACGGACTTACACAGACAGTACAACGGACTTACGCAAACGGATAGACAGTACCAGGAGCCGACACAGGTAGTACATCAGGCCGACACACATAGACAGACACTTGTACGTGGGCGTTAAAACCTGAATCTTGGCGATTAGGCCGCATTGTTTGACCAGGTTAGAGATTGACTTTGACCTCATTTGAACGGAATAGAGTGTGAGTAAAAAAAAATTATTTTGTTTTGACTCGATACGAAAACAAAACAAAAACTGAGGGTGACAAAACAAGCAGAGGGCGTTGTAAGCAGACGTGAGGGTGACAAAACAAGCAGAGGGCGTTGTAAGCAGACGTGAGGGTGACAAAACAAGCAGGGGGTGTTGTAAGCAGACGAGAGGGTGAAAAAACAAGCAGAGGGTGTTGTAAGCAGAAGTGATGGTGACAAAACAAGTAGAGGGTGTTGTAAGCAGAAGTGATGGTGACAAAACAAACATAGGGTGTTGTAAGCAGACGAGAGGGTGACAAAACAAGCAGGGGTGTTGTAAGCAGACGAGAGGGTGAAAAAACAAGCAGAGGGTGTTGTAAGCAGACGAGAGGGTGAAAAAACAAGCAGAGGGTGTTGTAAGCAGACGTGAGGGTGACAAAACAAGCAGAGGGTGTTGTAAGCAGAAGTGATGGTGACAAAACAAGCAGAGGGTGTTGTAAGCAGAAGTGATGGTGACAAAACAAGCAGGGGGTATTGTAAGCAGACGAGAGGGTGAAAAAACAAGCAGAGGGTGTTGTAAGCAGACGAGAGGGTGACAAAACTAGCAGAGGGTGTTGTAAGCAGACGTGAGGGTGACAAAACAAGCAGAGGGTGTTGTAAGCAGAAGTGATGGTGACAAAACAAGCAGAGGGTGTTGTAAGCAGAAGTGATGGTGACAAAACAAGCAGAGGGTGTTGTAAGCAGACGTGATGGTGACAAAACAAACATAGGGTGTTGTAAGCAGACGAGAGGGTGAAAAAACAAGCAGAGGGTGTTGTAAGCAGAAGTGATGGTGACAAAACAAGCAGAGGGTGTTGTAAGCAGACGTAAAGGGGACAAAACAAGCAGAGGGCGTTGTAAGCAGACGTGAGGGTGACAAAACAAGCAGGGGGTGTTGTAAGCAGACGAGAGGGTGAAAAAACAAGCAGAGGGTGTTGTAAGCAGAAGTGATGGTGACAAAACAAGTAGAGGGTGTTGTAAGCAGACGAGAGGGTGACAAAACAAGCGGAGGGTGTTGTAAGCAGAAGTGATGGTGACAAAACAAGCAGAGGGTGTTGTAAGCAGAAGTGATGGTGACAAAACAAACATAGGGTGTTGTAAGCAGACGAGAGGGTGAAAAAACAAGCAGAGGGTGTTGTCAGCAGAAGTGATGGTGACAAAACAAGCAGAGGGTGTTGTAAGCAGACGTAAAGGGGACAAAACAAGCAGAGGGCGTTGTAAGCAGACGTGAGGGTGACAAAACAAGCAGGGGCTGTTGTAAGCAGACGAGAGGGTGAAAAAACAAGCAGAGGGTGTTGTAAGCAGAAGTGATGGTGACAAAACAAGCAGAGGGTGTTGTAAGCAGAAGTGATGGTGACAAAACAAGCAGAGGGTGTTGTAAGCAGACGAGAGGGTGACAAAACAAGCAGAGGGTGTTGTAAGCAGACGAGAGGGTGACAAAACAAGCAGAGGGAGTTGTAAGCAGACGTGAGGGTGACAAAACAAGCAGAGGGAGTTGTAAGCAGAAGTGATGGTGACAAAACAAGCAGAGGGTGTTGTAAGCAGACGTGATGGTGAAAAAACAAACATAGGGTGTTGTAAGCAGACGAGAGGGTAACAAAACAAGAAAGGAGTGTTGTAAGCAGACGTAAGGGGGACAAAACAAGCGGGGGGGGGGGCGTTGTAAGCAGGCGTGAGGGGGACAAAACAAGCAGAGGGTGTTGTAAGTGGAGGTGATGGTAACAAAACATTCAGAAGGTGTTGTAAGCAGACGTAAGGGTGAAAAAACAACCAGAGGGCGTTGTAAGCAGACGAGAGGGTGACAAAACTAGCAGAGGGTGTTGTACGCTAACTTGAGGGTGACAAAACAAGAGTTTTTACAATTTTGTTCACAAACTTAAAATTACAAAAGTTTAAATGCGATTTTAACTTTATTTTATGTTCCGTGGAAAAGGAGGTACACTGTGACCCCAGGGTGAAAGAAGTTTAGTGATCAATTGAAGATCGAGAGAGTGAGAATGGCCGAGAGATATATAATGATAGATGTTGACGTAGTTCTCGATTACATTTATTTCCCATCAGCCACTTGACGATAACTATCGCTAATGTGAATCTTATTCAATCTCCTTCAAATAATCCCTAAGTTCAATCTCCCCCGCCTGGGTGAGCTAATGTTGAAAGGGGAAAATGTATGGCGAGGCTGGCAAACAAATGTAGATAGGGATTTGACTGAAGCACTTGTTTGGGCCAGCGAGAAGGGGGAAAACCTTCGGGGACCGGCCCGTAAAATACCACACTGGCATGTTTATCCCGCGATGGCCTGGCCACACTGACAAGTTTATCTCTGTCCTTCGAGATGCTAGTGCCGCACCAAAAGAAAAAAAATCAGGGGAGGCTAGTGGGAACTTCGACTAGAATTAATATTACATTTGAAGGAAGACGACTAAAACCAGTCCAGCTAAACCAGTCCAGCTAAAGCTAAACCAGTCCAGCTATACCAGTCCAGCTAAACCAGTCCAGCTAAAGCTAAACCAGTCCAGCTACACCAGTCCAGCTACACCAGTCCAGGTAAAGCTAAACCAGTCCAGCTAAACCAGTCCAGCTAAACCAGTCCAGCTAAACCAGTCCAGCTAAACCAGTCCAGCTAAACCAGTCCAACTAAAGCTAAACCAGTCCAGCTAAACCAGTCCAGCTAAACCAGTCCAGCTAAGCTAAACCAGTCCAGCTAAACCAGTACAGCTAAACCAGTCCAGCTAAACCAGTCCAGCTAAAGCTAAACCAGTCCAGCTAAAGCTAAACCAGTCCAGCTAAAGCTAAACCAGTCCAGCTAAACCAGTCCAGCTAAACCAGTCCAGCTAAACCAGTCCAGCTACACCAGTCTAGCTAAACCAGTCCAGCTAAAGCTAAACCAGTCCAGCTAAACCAGTCCAGCTAAACCAGTCCAGCTAAACCAGTCCAGCTAAACCAGTCCAGCTAAACCAGTCCAGCTACACCAGTCTAGCTAAACCAGTCCAGCTAAACCAAGATTGTGTGAGTTGGATGGGGGGTGGTTTATAAGGTGAACCAGAAAAAAACGAAATATAATATGAGCCGCTACTTGGATGTTAAAATAATGGTCAGTGGTTCCCAGTGCCGGCTTTAGTTATTGGCGGCTGTCCATTTCGGCACTTTCCTAGGGTCGGAGAATTCCAGTCGGAAAAAAAATGGAGGGGAAAAAAAATTATTGTATATTAAAAAAAAAAATCTGCAGTATTCCGAAAATGCCGCCCTTCATTATCAAAAAGTGCCACCCGAGGCTGATTGACTCCTTCCACGCCCGCTCTTCCTACGCCACTGAGTACGTTCTCAAGAATGAAGGGTCGGGGGGAGGGGGGGCAGTCCGACTTAGGTCTGACCTTTTTTTCTATTTTGGTGGGGCAGCATCATGTTCGGCCAACTGCGGCGTTTGTACGTGGAGGGGGGGTGGCAAACATCTTGACCCCCCTTGGACGGCCCCTAGATTTATGCGACATTGAATTTATGCGCACCTTCTGCATTAATTCTCCTAAAATTGTGACAGTCCATAAAAAGCCTATGTACATCTCTAATAAAGTCAACTGTCATCTTAAAATGTGATATTGTGCAATTATTTTCGCGACAGCTCCATTTAGCAGGGTTCGACCAATTTGTTTAACCATTAGGACCTAACCCAAAATATATATTTGTTTACACAGACGTGACACCCCCCCCCCAACCCCAAAATCGACTATTTAAATTCAAAGAGAGACTACAATAATAAATATAAAAAGTCCAACTCAATAATATTATAGTGGAACAAAAGTATTTCTATGGAAAAAAAAAAAGTCCCTTCAAATAGTGTAGAAATGATTATATTTCCTTTTGAAACAATGACATCAAAATCAGGACTTTTTTTTTTTTTAGATGAGTGAAAACTTGTTTCTGCCACTCCCAATCATTGCTGCNGCTGAGAGAAAGTTTTCGAAACCCTTTAAAAAAATCCAACAAAAAAAAAAAAAAAAATCTTCGTTCAACCATGTCTCAAGATCGTTTGGTTTAGCTGCAATATTATTCATTAAAAAGAACGAGTGGGATGTATCTGAAATAATAATTCCGGATTTAGCTTCTACGAAAGCAAGAACATCATTTTATTTTAAAATATAATTTATTTGTTAATGACAAAATATGATTAAAACTTTGATAACATTTGCCATTACAGGATTTTTTTTGTTTCATGTGTATTTGTATTTATTATTATTTTTTTTTAACCCTCTGCAGAAGCAAGAGAACCATATTTAACTTGAAATCAACTATTAATTATTAAGTGTACAAAAATTATTTTTTTAAAAAGTCTTTACGTTTTGTTTTTTTTGTTTTTTTTTTAAGAATTTGAGTTTAATTATAGACTATAGGATTTTTTAAAATTAAAATAAAAATATTAATTTCCATTTTCATCATTCGGATTTATAACTACAAAATTTGTACATAAATTAAAAAAAAAAAAAAAAGGTTTGGCAAAATTATAATAAAAAAAAAAAAAAAAAAACTGGTTTGGCAAATTTATGATAAAGTGGGGTGGCAATTTTTGCTCCTCCTAGAGCACAAAACTTGTCTTTGCCAGCACAGCTGCTTACATCCATAATGCAGAAATTTAACTGGGGATACCACCACAGGGCCACTGAGCGATAACTAATCTCTCAGAGAAAACTTAGCTCTGAGCAATATCTAAGCTGTCAGAGATAACTAAGCAATACGTGATATCTAAGCTGTCAGAGATAACTAAGCATTGCGTGATATCTAAGCTCTCAGAGATAACTAGGCTCTGAGCAATATCTAAGCTATCAGATGTAACAAAGCTCTGGGCCATATCTAAGCTCTCATACATAACTAAGCTCTAAGCGATATCTAAGCTCTCAGAGATAACTAAGCTTGGAGCATGTAGAGTGCACAGTAAATCACCCATAAATGCATCTATTCTGTACAATGCTAGTGGTGATCCATTTTTGGCAACAAGTAAGAAATAAACATACAACATATTGTATTTTATTTGCATTACCTGGTCATTCAAAACATTTTCTAGGCATTCACTAGATTGCCAACATGGACTTAAGTAAGTGTGATAAAACATGGCAGTGGTTGGACGTTTAAATAATTTGAGAGAAAGCCAATCTTTGGACCTGTGTTTTACCACCTATCCATGCAGAGGCGTAGCGTGGTGAGGGCAGGGGGGGACAGATGTCCCCGGCCGCCAGCTAGTTAGGGGCCAAACACCCTCGCTACGCCACTGTATCCATGTCACACTTAACAAATCTGTGGACCTGTGTTTCACAACCCATCCATGTCACACTTGTCAAATCGTTGGACCTGTATTTCACAACCTATCCATGTCACACTTGTCGAATCTTTGGACCTGTATTTCACAAGCTATCCATGTCAGACTTGTTAAAATTTTTGAAATCAACACGTTGATTCCTGCTTCCATGGCAAGATAATTTCATAGTGACCACAGATTTACCCTGTGTTCAATCCTCACAAAAATAATATTGTCCTCCATTTCAATGAAGAAAGGCACTTAAGTACGACATGAATAAAACAGCCTTCAACCCTAAAATGACATGACCAGACCAGAATTGTGTTTATTGATATCAGCACAAATGAGATCCCTTTATTTTGTCTCCTTTAGTCAATGATGTTGCGGCTCCTCCAATAAACCATAACTCTAAAACTGGACACTGTTACTGTAGTTACTTCCCTTAAACTTCAACACACTTGTTAACATTTTAAATGTGGTTTATTTGATTATCAGATTCAAACATTAATACAACTTGTAAGATATGTTTGTTCATAAAATGAAAAATTTGTCGTTCTGTTCTGACTAAGCCAAGCTCTATTTAGGGGGATAATTGAATTGTATTTAATTTCACTAAGAAATTTTTAATTGCCCATTACAAGATAAGTTTGTTTAGAAATTATTTTAAAAATATTGGTACAAATTTTTTTCTTTAAAAACATTACTGGAAATAATCTAATACACAATTATTGAAATTATTGACATGTATTTGATTTATTTGTAACATAAAATAAAGTACACGGTCTATGACTGTAGACTGGAGTGTGATATTCAGTTTTATTCATTGATTTCGATAGTTACTTATTTCACAATAATAATAATATAGAAAAATTGTTAACAAATTGGAATTGTGGTGATCTGTGTATTTTTTATCCACCGCAGATTCAGAACATTACATGCTGGATCAAACGCCGGAGTCCCATTAATATTTGAACCAAAAGTTTTTAATTTATATGGAATAAATTTTACTTTATTCAGCGGTATAAGCAGAGTCGGATAGAGAAAATTGTATTCAGCAGTTAAAAAAGTCAATGGCCTTTTTAAGAATGAAATCATGGGATATGGGCAAACAGCCAGCTGATATGGACTGGTCAAGCAGTAATGTCAGGAAGGAGGACCACCTTGAAAAAAAAATTACCACTGAAGCCGTAGACAGTAACCAGATTGGCATGGGATAAACATCAGATGTCTTTGTTTACACTTTCTCAACACAATGTCACACAGTGAGTCATACAATGAGTCACACAATGAGTCATACAATGATTCATACAATGAGTCACACAATGACTCATGTACAACCAAAATAACTGTATATAAATAATGATTAGCATTCACGATTCACAACTAGTCAAATTCATAAACCGGTAATGCTCTTAATCAATTTTTCCAAATAAAAACATAGATCAAAATCCAACTTAATTTGTTTATGATACATGCAATGATGACCAACCAGACAAATTGCTGAAAGAGGTTAGACTAAAATTTGCATTGACAGTAATGATAATATAATGTCAACAAGGATGACTTCATCGTTATTTATCAAGTCTATTTTTATCTACATATGAAAAGAATCCCAACATGAAATAATGGCTCTGTCTAGTTAACTATTATTACTATTGGAATCATTGCAGAATGGCTGGCGGTTTTTACATGGAAACAATAAGATAATTGCATCATTTCAAAAATGAGGGGAATCTCATGTCTCCTTGTTCATGAGCTCCAATCCATAATTTATCTTAACATCTGCACTGGTAACAACTATGTGATTAGCATAATTATAATTATTTCAGATCTTGTATTCCTTTGGTATCATGCTAAGACCACAGTTACAAACAATGGACAGTTACAGCAGCAACTAGTGACAAGGCCTTATGGCTGTAACAGAAACCATTGGGTTACAACAACCTTATACAACTTAAATTATTGTTTTTCATCTTATTCTCCTTATCATGGGGTCAGGGAACTGGCAAAATATGGTATTCCAGCTACTATTTCAAATCTGTATATATATATATATATAATATATATATAGACATATTAAGTAGTGGTTGAGTACAAAATGCTACACAGATGACATTCCTTTGTCTCAAGAAACTTACAGTGTCATACCTTTACAATAATGTAAACACATAAAATTCTGAAAGACTCTGCAACAGTAGACACACAAAAATAACCCAGAAATATGCAAAGTATGTTTCAATTTTAACAAAACCTTAACCAAAACCTTTGCCAAAGTCTGCTCAATCTCACTTCTGTGCAAGGTTATGTAGGCAAGTTTTCAGATTTTTGTAAATATGTTTCATTTATGTGTTACCATGAAGTACACTACGGCACTGTCGGATATTTTGACCAAGTGGACAACATTGGTTACAGTTACATTGAGCATGCTGCGATACATGACCTGGCCGTGGGCATTATTTATTTTTGGTTTATTGTCAGTTGAAGCTATACTGGACACTTTCGAATATGGAAGTTGACCTTGTAGTCGGTGGCAGTTCTCTGGACACTTATTATAAATGGTTCTGAAGGGTGACACACGAAGGCAACAAGGCGGCGATTACTTGGGGAAATCTGTCTTTCTGGTGCTCCTGTGTTGAGCTTGAAGCTGAGCATTCCAGAATCTCTGGTAAAAAATCTGATTTAAAAATACAAAGGTCAATAAATCCAAAGCAGAAACAATTTATTGTACCGGTATTTGAAAAACTAAAGCTGAAAGTGGATATTCCTTAAAAGAATTTTTTTTTAAAAGTAATTAACCCACGAACTGCTATTATTCTTTATTTTGCAGGCTATTTAGAGCTTTTTGGGTGCCTTTGAAAAAGGTGATTTTCCACAAGCCAACACTATAGCTAGACCCCATAAAGTATGTATTTATTGAAATTAGACTTAGTGGGGAATCATATTGGCTATTTTGTTAATGCTATTTTATACTCTGTTACCTTGACCTTGGAATGGCCAAGAATAAAGAAAATAATGAAACGTTTTCTTCTCAAGTACCTCAAACTACAATTTTTTAAAGATATAATATTATAATGTTTATATTACATGATATCATTTTGATTTATCTTCAGAAAATGCATTTATTTGTATTTGTTTTAGTTATTAATAGATTTTAAAAAAATTCTGCTGATATCTATAATTACGTTCAAGTAACGAAGCACCACATAAACAAGATAAACATTAATAAATAGTAAGAAACAGATAAAATTCAAATAGCTGCTATATAAATATAAATAACATATATAGAACTTAATAGAACATCCAATTATTTTTTATTGGTACGTTTTCGCCACAATCATCTGCAACATAGTTTTGAAAGCGTCCTGTTATTACAGCAACACTTACTCATTCTAGGCCTAGGTCTAAATCGTCCAAATCCGAACTATCACTTTCAACCCAACTAGAAAATAATCAGAATTATCATTGTCTTCTTGTGTGATCAGAAAATCATCTTCCGAATCACTTAAGTCATTAACTAAAAAGGTATCAAAAAGATTCCTAATTTATTTTGTAAGCCAGATGGTCCAGCTATGGCCTCATCCATTTCACGAAAATCTACTTATACAAATTTGCTTGATAAAGATCATTGTAAAATAACTCCAAAGTTTTAAAAAAGGACACAGAAGAGCGAAAAAAAATAAGTTCATTTATTATTGAAAGGAAGTAGTTTTATTTAGTGTAAAATATTGGACTGGAAGTTGTTCTTTCACCGCAATTTTTATCAGCCAATTTCATCGGCCGACGACAGTTCGTGGGTTTAATAAAATATGTAAAATATTTACATAAACTTATCGTGGTGCACTTTTTGATGATTTAATTGCAAGAAAGGGTTGACTGTGAGGGTTGTGTGGGTGAAAGAAAAGTTTGTGACATGAGAGATGTTTTTCTCATAGCCAGCCTAAACATTTTTTTACAACAATCACAAAATCTCAGGTCTAGAGTTTAAATCTAGGCTTACATAGCCTACTTATTCTCTCCAAATAGCTCACAGCATTTGCTTTTTTAGACATTGAATGAGTTATGGCCTTAAGATAGGGATGGAATAAATCCTCTTGTTATTTGATGAATGAGTAATGGCCTTAAAATTGGGATGGGATGAAACACCATGTTATTATTATTGAACAACTAAAATATGAATAACGTAAGCTGGTTGGCATTAAACCTTGTATGTGCACACTGAATGCTCCTAATATATTGATATTTTCAATTATAAATTATATTTGTCTTTTAAAATGTCTCATTTATCTATAAGAAAGGCTACATATATTTGTTTGGTTTCAATACCTATATAAAGAGCAGTTATTGGAAAGAAAACAATTGGCCTATATGAATTTGTTCCCATTCTCATTGAAAATATAAAGTAAAATTATAAGATGTGAATTTAAAAAAGTAAACCGCAACTGATGTCAGATAGTGAAGCCTTGATGACATTAAGTCCCTTTTTACCTTATGGGATGGTCACCACATGTTTTAGGTCTCTCTAGCTGTGATATCCACTTATCATCATAACTGAACAAGGCATGGTCAAGATATGGGGAACAGCTGTAGGACTGAGCACTGATTGGGAGTTGAGTAAGCATTCGAGATATAGCCTCTCTTTTCCCACCATTTTTGGCCACTATGAGAGTCCATTTAAACATGTGCTGTATGCGTCTGGCATGGATGGATGACGATGGTGATGATGGAAACTGGGGTTGGAGATGCAGCCAAGAGTTGCGGAAGTGGTCCTGGAAATTTTCCATAATCTCCAGGAGTTCAGGAGAAGTGTGCTCGTACACTCCCAGAATCTGCAGAGCCGAAAATGGCATTAAAAATACAACAATAAAATATTATATGTGATGAATAAGTTATAACTCATTACAGTCTCTTGCATAATGAGTAATTATTGTAAAAATTGATTCTTTCCAATGTCCAAAAAGCAAAATGATTTGCGCTGCATAGAAGGGACGTTAAAAAAGTTTTCACATATTGTTTCAATAAAAGATTGTTGTTTTTAACAAAATGATTTCAATTTTGTGATAAGCAATAGCAATGTTAATGTTGTTTTTTTGTTTCTTTTGCAAATAAATTTTAAAAAAATGAAAATTATCATAAACAAAATTTTGTTGTATATAAAGTAACTCAAAGCTAATGTAAAATTCAAATTGAATACTGATGTAAAGATTTTCAATAACAGGACATAACAAAATAATGTATTCTTATACCCTATTGTATTAGGTACCTCAGTTGTGGTCATATTATAGACGACAAATAATGAAGGCATGTTGTATGGATCCCCATTACGGAAGGTCACCACTTCCTCAATGGCATACTTGATAAGTAAATGTTCCTCATCTAACAGCTGCAGCTTTCCCATGCGTAAGTTCCTGAGGTCATCCATAGCCCAATAGAAGGCTCTGATCCCTTGGTCAATGTGACCATTGCAAGCTGCTTTATAGAGGTAAACTAAGAGCCTGTGCTTCAGGGAGTTGATGCACTGCCAACAGAATGGAATAAGTCATCATATCAAAAGGTTATTAAATGAATTTTTAAAATAAATTGTAAGAAAAGATAAATGAAATGAAGTTCAAAAAGTAATATTGATTTTTAAGGATTGCATAAGTTGAACAATTTTATTACACACCTGAAGTGTCAGTCTGTTTTTCAAAATGTATTCAAGTTCATTAGTTTGCTATCTAAACCAGTGCTCCCCAAGTTTTTTGACTCGGGCAGCCATTTTTAAAATCAAATTCTAAGGCAGAGCCCCTTGGGCATAACATATGCCTTACAAATTAATAGAGTTTAGGAGTTTCTCGGAGCGGCTGCGGAGCCCCTGAGAAGTGCAACCGAAGCACAGGTTAGGAACCACTGATCAAAACCACTCAAATCTACTACCTGAAATTTGCACATCTTTTTGTCTTCCATTAACATTCCCTAGATCAAACACCCCTCCTGACCCCAATCACAATATCTTATATATTAACACAGATCATTAGGCTCATAATGCAGATCATAAAATCTCTTTTGTTGTGACTTTAATTTTGAAATCAAGGGTCGACACCAACACTTCATGTTGCAAAAAACCCTTCCCAAAATCTTAAAGCCCTACCCTCCTAAGCCCTATGCGGATGACTCTAAGGCTCACCTTGTCTGTGTAAGGCCTGTTTTGAACTCTAGGCAGTTGATTAGAAGTCTGGCGATAGAAAATTTCATCATCATCATAGCAAAAGCGTCCTATTGTTCTCATAGGAATAAATGTTCCTTGGGGAGATATCTGAAAAACATGGATCACTTGCTGCTGGACTGAGAGGACGGTCAAAATATTTCCATACAGACAGACACCTTGATTGTGGGACAAATAAATTTTGTCCAATCTGAACCGTCTCTTGTCACAAACAATCCCTGTGAAGAAAATTGCTTGATAATTAATTAATTTTAAGCAATGAGCATTCTATAAAACTCAATATTTACCTACAACATTTACATAAATGGAGAAACAAAATTATAGCTAAAATTATTTGGTAATTTGTCCAGGGTACAAGCCTAAAAACGAATGTTGTATTATAAGAATGGTTTATTTTTAATAATAAATCACAACCTTTATATTATAAAGGCATTGGCTGTAAAGAAATTTAAGAGAGTCAATTAACACTTAAACAATATTTGTTAATTTATTAATCATAGATTAAGCCGATTCTACCTGTTTTCAACTGTACTATGTATAGTGTATAGTCTTCTGGAATGAGGCGATAATTTGGAGTAATACATTCATTGTTTCTATATACATCATAGAATCTGGAACTATTTTCCTCAGGAAGTTGATGGCAAGAACCAATTAGAACATACTGACTGTCATCTGTAAATAAACTGCACTCTCTGTTGAGAACCTCCTCTCCAACTGTCACCCTAACAACCTGACGCTTCTGTAAGAACTGTGAAAAGATTTTGCTACGCACATTAGCCGCATCTTCCTCAGCATCGTTTGGGCCTGGGATAACTTCTCCCTTTATATCTTTAAAAAGATTTCCTGCTGCTTCACTCCCTTTAAAGTCAAATATTTCCAGAGATGTTTGATCATAAGAAATGGCAATAAAAAATCTGAAATAAAATTATTTTTAAACTGTTTTTTTATAAAATAGTGACATATTAATAGTAATGTAATCTATGTCAAAATCATCATTAGAAATGAAAAAGAATGCATTGCTCAAAATATATACATATATTTTATCAAGTTTCCCAAATTTTTATCAATAAAGAAAGCACACAAAAATTGTTTTCTGCCTTTTGTAATATCAAGACTCAAAGGAGAAAAGAGAAAACATATAAAAAATGCAACACACTTATTACAGCCGGTGAAATTCATCATTATTCTTACCTTCCATCTGGGGAAAATTTGCGCAAGTAACAAGGTGGCTTTTCAACATTAAGAATACTGAAGTTGGGAACAATACTTAAATAAAATTTGCGAGCTTCACTAAAGCATGTGCTATGTTTGTCATGGTGAATTTCTCTTTTAAAAAGTCTATGAATAATATTTTGGGATTCCAACCGCCGCCATCTAATTGGATCGTCTTCAGTACTATCCATGTCCAAATCTCATTTTAGAAAATTCTCTACAACATCTGAGTTTAAAAGGACCTGAAACATTAATTAAATTATTAATTACAGCATATAAATTGATTTAAAGTATGCATTTCAGTCCTTAAAAGTTTGTTACTAAAAAAAACAATGAAAATAATTGACTCAATTGAACTTTTTTATTTACTTTTTAGACCTTTAGCATGTAATGAATTCCCCAAAATTGTACAGTTGTATAGAGGCCATACAATTTAATAGTCTAGTAAATACAAAATAAATTCCACATCAACTAGAATAATATTAACTATTATATTAGTAATAATATTAGTATAGTGTAGTAGTTTTTAAGCTTTTCATTTTTTTAAAATTTATAGTCAGTATAGACTAGGGTGACCAAGCGTCCCGTAAAAACAGGATTGTCCTGTTTTTTCAAGATTGTACCAGGTGTCTTGAAAAATTCTCTCAGGCTGCCTAAATTTCCCGTTTTAAAAAACAAACACATTTTCAAATCACTAAAACTTTCTAATTTATAATATAATATAACTCCACGTAATATTTTGGCTAGCTGTGTAAGTGTAAACAGTGCCAGTAGTAATGAGGGCTCGGGTGAGGCTGCACTGTTCCCCCTCCACCACTCTGCCAACAGTGTCCCTGCCATAGATCTTATATGTATAGTATAGCGAAAGACACGAGACTTAAAGTGAAGGTAAATTTTAAAAGATTTCTAGGTCTCAAAATAGTTAAAATGAGCATATTTCAATAAACAGTTTCTGGCGGAGGCCCACGGACCCCTCTTTAGCTGGAGTGTATCCCCCCCCACCAACCCCCCTTGCGTTTGTCCCGTTTTTTCCAGTTCATGATTTGGTCACCCTAGTATAGATAGTATAGTATGAGTTTGTTTGCCCTCCATTTTACTACCCTCTCTGAACTCTCTGTAGTATCAAGTATGGACTGCACCACAAATGTTTAATTTGTGACCTTAAATTTTTTTTTCTGTAACTGTACTATAGCAACTCTCTTCTGTCAGGTTCACCAAAACACTGCATAGAAAAACAGCAGAAAGTTCAAAACTCAGGTGCTAGGCTAGTTTTAAAGGCAAAAAAACGTGATCACGTCACTCCACTACTCCATTCCCTTCATTGGCTACCTATACAGGCACGCATCGACTACAAGTTGTCTGTTCTCTGTCACAACTTTTTCTTGGATTCTTGCCCTTCCTATCTAACCGAAATTCTTTCTGTCTATTCACCCCTTCGACAGCTTCGCTCCTCTGCAGACACGCGTATTCTGTCCATTCCCAAGACACACACTAAAACGTATGGTAAACGATCTTTCTCTTTCTGCGCCCCCAAACAATGGAATTCTTTGCCACTAAACATACGCAATATACCAACCACCCAGGCCTTCAAAACTGCACAATAAACATATCTTTTTAAATTACACTACCCTGACTGATTCCGCTCCTCTGACCGATAAATGATCTTGCTGGCTGCCGTCCATGGTTTGCCTTGTAAAAGTTATGTGGTGGGGTGGGTGAATAAACAATGCTGTTCTTTATTTCATAAATATATTTTATTTTAATGTCATGATTATGTCTCTTTTGATAAAATGTTTATGTACAGCGCGGTGAGCCCAGCCCTAGGCTGGGGTACCGCGCTATATAAGACGTCTTATTATTATTATTACTGCTGTTATTTAATTACAAAATACATTTATTTATAATTTAAATAATACTTAAATAAAATTAATTATTTAATACTTAAGTCTAAGTGTCTAGTGCAAAACTGAGCTTATCAGAACGTATCAACTTTAAATGTATTTAAATTATTGGATAATTTGTGTATCTCAGATATGGGGGGCAGGCAAAGGTTCTTTATCTTTCTTGATTTACCCTTTCTTTATTAATTAATAAGTTAATAAATCAAAATTGACAAAATTAAAAAATCTCAACATACAATGACTCAAACTCTAAGTTACTAAGTTCATAATTCATAAGTATAAGTAAGATTCCAATTATTAATAAATTTGGTAAATAATTATAAATGATGTCTCATGCCTGACCCTGCCTGAAAAACGTATTGACGACCCTCTCTAGACTGGGACTTTGGCCAACTTTTGGATCCCCTTCATAGAAAATATTGTCACAGCCATGGTTCATAGTTTATAGGCCTATTTTATTACTAGTATTGCATAGTTAATTCTTATTCCGTTTTGTTTTTGCGGAAAAGTCCGGAAAGTGAACCTACGGCTAAGTTGCTATCATGACGGTGCGACTAAATACCTTTTAAAGAAGTGGCTCGGTACAATGACTACAGTTTCGTGTTCTGTAACGGACGAACAACAGAACAAATCTAAGAAAAGCTTGAGCTTTTATCATTTAGTAATGATACATCATTAGTTAACATTGACTTACTCAAATGGTTGCTGCGCGTTGATATATTAATGATTAAACAGTATGTTTTCAAAATATTAGCTACGAGACTCTGGTGGTTGTTAATGAAACGTGGATGTCGTGTGTCAATTTCGCCGACGCATAGTGAAAGCAAGACGGTTGACATGATAACTATGCACATATATAAATATGCTAGTATTTTGTTTGGATATTCATAAGAGATCCGTGAAAAGCTGAAGGCTACATCATGACTACATTTACTTGTAAATCAACTGCAAGAAGAATGTTTAAATACAATAAAATATCGTTTAGATTCATAATTCTTATGTGGATCTTATACATGCTACATACATATAAATATATGCACTTTCTATATGTTTTCTAATTTCTTCTTATTTTCAATGTAGGCCTACATATGTCTCCTTCTTTCAAATTATTGAGCATGATCATCATGCTGGCTGAACATTGGAACAGCACCATCACAGCAAATAGCCCCACTTTGCTTTGGTCTCAAGAGTTTGTGTTGAACTGTTGATCATTGGTTTCACTCTAAACCGTTTTTTTTTTTTTTTTTTTTTTTTTTTTTTTTTTTTTTTTTTTTTCTTTTTTTTTTTTTTTTTTTTTTTTTTTTTTTTTTTTGGGGGGGGGGGGGCGCCGAAGTATGGATTATCTTAACGCAGTTTAACGGGTTATGATTATGTGCTTAAAGGCCAGTACATCTTGTTCAAATTAAAATTCTCCGTAATTGGTATATTTAAATTGCTACAAAATATAAAATAATTTAAATTAAAATTCTATGTGGGAAATGATTCCCAAACTTGATGTCACCTAGCGTTCGTTCTACCAAGAGTTCACACAACATCACATCTAGCAGCTATATGTCAAGCCCATGCCACATTGGTCTTTTTTTTTTTTTTTTTGTCGTGGTTGACGCAGGCCTAGACTTTGGTTTTCCTGGGTACACCCCGCGTTGTACCCAGCCACTTCGAAATAAAAGACGAGCATTATCCCCCATTAAATACATTGGTCTTTTTTTTTTTTTTTTTTGTCGTGGTGTACGCAGGCCTAGACTATGGTTTTCCTGGGTACACCGCGCGTTGTACGCAGCCACTTCGAAATAAAAGACGAGCATTATCCCCCATTAAAATTCTTCACTCTTTTTTTTTTTTTGCTGCAACTACTTACTACATGATACCAGGGCTACCACACCTTGGGAAATTTCCCAAGATCTTGGAAATTCACGACCCCCCTTGGGATCTGGGGAATAATTTTGAAAATCAGGCAAAACCTTGGGAAATCTTAACTGGGGGTAAGATTTTATTATATTTTTTCGAAAAACGCAAACAATATACGTGATAAAAAAATAAAATGAAAATAAAGCAAAATAATTTTTTAAGTAACAAGGAAAAAATTAATTTTTTAAAATTTTCTTTTCTGGTTTTAATTTTTAAAACCATTTCTAAATAAATAAGAACTCTAATAAAATTAAAGTTAATATTGTAAATTAATAACAAGTTAATAATTAAAGACAAATTTAATTTTCTCTTTTTTTTTTAAGATGAAGATTTGCAAATTCCACCCAGGTGTTAAATGTTTATTAAACGGCGGAATGCTCGGAAACTTTATCATGCATATAAGACATTAGAAACCATACGAAAACAGTACAAACCAAAGAGTGAATGATAGTGTTCATCAAATGAGAGTGTTCTATCAAGAACCCATAGTAAAATTGGATTATTTCAATTACTTATACAATGTGTTCAAAATATTATGCACCTTTAACAAATCTAGCCTAATTTTCATCTATTGGAAAAAAAATATTTGTGGATTGACACACAGGTAACTAAGATATAAAAATTATACATTGTAGGAAATAAATGAAAAATTCCTTTAAACAGTATTTCGTTTGAAAAAAATCCTTATAATGTAAATTTACAAGAAAAAATAAAAATACTTATTGCTTTCATAATACTATCAATCCATTTTAACTACATTTATTATTAACAAATTTTGCTTAATAGCTTAGCAAAACCAATTACTAATCAACAGACTTACAATAAGAAAACACATTTTTTTTATGAAAACCTTTTGCCTTTGTAAAAGGAATTGTGTGTTGATTAGCCTTGTGAGCTTTGTTTCCAAGTGACTTCTATTACACGTGAATTGTAGATGATATTTTAACCAGAGAATTTGGAGGTAACATTTAGTAGCCTAACTCCAGTGGGTATTGATATTTTGAATAATAAAATAATATAAATTATTTTTTTAAAGAAATTGCTTATTTCTTTTATGTGATAAACATTTTTTTTAAAATGTCTTTTTCAATAAATTTCAGTCAATTATTGTACCATGTGTTTCAGGGGCATTAATTCTATCTATTATTGCATTAAGGGCATAGGAACCCCCCTCTTCCCCCCCCCCCCACACACAACCTTAAAAAAAAATTCCAAATACTTTTATGATCTTGGGAAATCTTGGGAAATTTCATGACCAAATCTTGGGAAATTTTAAAAAAGTGAATGGCAGCCCTGCATGATACTTGTCGGAAACACGCTAAAATGGCGTCAACACTTGCTCACCGGTTACCAGTTCGGCATCATTGTGTTAAATCTTCTTTCTTAAATCGATACTTTAGCTCAGCACTACAAGACAACGTTAAATATGACGTTTCTGCTGCTGATACTGATGGATATCCACCAGTTAAACCAAAATACCCCCCTGGAGTTTGGGGAAATATGAATCACAAATATGCATGGAAATGGTTTGACATGAAAAACAAAATGTTGAGTATTCCTGATGTTCAAGGTCGTCTAATAGCTCTGCTTGAAAAAGACAATATTGCTATGATTGATATGCCTGCCATGGACTATGCTATACACAACTTTCCAGAAAGAGTTCAAGAACTCATTGATTATGCATCTACTGTTATGGTTCTAGACCCTGGTAATGACCACCCAGCAACTCTGCAGTTTCGTCAATATGTAACCAAGACTTGCTTGCTGCCTTGGAAAGATTCAAAACCAGCCATTTATGAAAGCTTAACATTGAACAACACTGACAATTTAGTTAACCAATTGAAGCAACATATTTCAGATCATCTGCTTTTAGAATCTGAAACAATTACTAAAACAGAAAAGTGTTTCACATCAACACCAGAAGAAAACAAAAAGTACAAGTGTCAGTCATTAATAAGAAGCATATCTGAATTTCTCACCGCAAAACTTGCAAAAGATCATCCACATCTTAAACTGTCACATTATGATGAGGATGTTATTGTTCGAGCTTTTTGGAGTCGGTATGGAATAGATAGGAAAAAGAGAAAATACGTACAGGACCCTGATGAATTATTATTTGACACAGTGAAAGACCAGTTTATTAGTTATGACGGTCTTTTCAATGCTATGCTGAGGAGTCATTTACCTTTACCTCAGGTAAATGGGAAAACATTTGGTTCTACAATTAAGAAAAATAAAATTTTAGCTAAATCCACAGCTGCCAAATTGTACTATAATGTTTTAGTAAAAGTATTTAAAATTAGGGATAGGTCTAGGTATTTACATCAACATTCTACCTTTTATTTTAGAAAGGGAACATAAAAAATTAAAAAGAACAGGCGTAGGCTTAGCTTGTACTTATAATTTATTCTGTAAAAAAAAAATTCAGTGCTAGTACTAGTAAGCCGAACTAACTATGACTATTTAGAATGTGGGGTAGGGGAACAAATCATGCATCAGAAAAAATGGGACACACCCAAGGAGGGTTTGGGAGGATACCCTCCAGCTGAATAGGGGTCCGGGGGCCTCCACCGGAATTTTTTATTGAATTGAAATATTTTGAATATGTTCATTTTAAATGTTTTGAGACTAGAAATATTTTTAAATTTACATTCTTTTTGTAATTTAATTTAAACTCTGAGGCATATCATAAACAAAAACAATAATTTTACAGTGAATATGGCAGGGACAGTGTCGTTTATGCGCAGAGTGGTGGAGGGGGAACAGGGCAGCCATCACGTGAGCCCTCATCACTACTGGCACTGGCTACACAGCTAGCCAAAATATTAGTTGAAGTTATATTATAAATTAGGTTTATAAGTTTTAGTGTTATGAAAATGTGTTTGGTTTTAGAAACGAGACATTTAGGCGTCCTGAGATACTTTTTTGGGACACCGGGTGAGATCGTGTAAAGACGGGACAATCCCGTTTTTACGGGACATTTGGTCACCCTAATGTAGGGCCTATTACATAGCGGTACTGTAATTTAAATTTTTTTTTGTTAACTCTGATTATGATGGAGTTATTAATAATATTTTTGTTATAAATAATTCATTTGAAAGAAAACTAAAACTTTAGTCAAAGTATTTACTGACAAATTGGTCGTAATATCAGACAACCCAGACTAAATATTGAGCTTCACGACTTCACATTTATTCTGTGCCTTGCCATTTAACATTTATCATATTTGGGGAGAAAGCTTTTCTGTACACAAAACACAGAAGGGTTCCCTGGCTTGGAATGTCTAAAACAGCCAACAAATTACCCCTTAATACTTTGCAAAAAATTATATTACATTTAACAGATTTTTAATATAACCCACCATTATTTGATTTTATGATAAATTTTACTAGTTTTAACTACAATTTATTTAAAATTTTAGTTTGAAAATAGAGAAAGTGGTCTTAGCGTTGAAAAAATGGCCCCAGCAATTGAATACAAGCCATCAGTTTATGGACAAGGAAAAGTTTCAAGAAAAATTCCAACAAATATTTTGGCAGGTAATAAGTTGGATAATTATTAAGAATTATTATACCTTTGAATAATAGAACAGTTGTTTATTGTTTGGTCAATTTTAGTCGCATGGGAAAGCATGTCATTTTTTTTTTAAAATTTATTATTGGTTGCAAATCTGGCTGTTGATTAGACTATTAAACAACAAATTTTGAAAAGCATAGAATAAATTTTATTTAAGTAAACAATATTTCAACAAAAGCTAGTATTTGTGACAATTATAATTTAAATTGCTTTTCAGAAATTAACTTCTATTACTCTGTTTAATAGAAATATGTTTGATTAAATTTGATGAAAAATACAGTGGATAAGCTCTAAGTTATTTCCGAAAATTTTCATTGATGTTAAAATTAGCATTGCTTGTAATCTACATTAAAAAAATATGACATTTTTAAAGTTTTTCTGGAGTTGCTTAATTTGAGATGATGTAATAATAACTTGCCTTGGTCTTCTATTTACATAAAATAATAACATCTTTGCAACATTTAAGAATAACTATAACATGTCACATGTCCATACCTGTTTAACCTCAAACTCTTCAAATCGTACAATATCATCACAGAATTGTTTAAAACATTATCTTAATTTTAAAATAATAAACCTACAGTATAAACATGTATACACCTTAAAATCGTACATTGTACGCCAAAATCGTAAGAGTAAACAGGTCTGCATGTCACAGAAAAATTATCTGAGTGGCAGTGAATCCAAAAAATGTTAAATGAAAAACATATAATATAAAAGAACATTTCTTACAGGTCACAAGCTGGGTGATCCTTGTGAGTTTGGGCTTGTAGGGCTGATTTCTACCTGTGATGCTGATACTGTGGGGAAGAATGTTAGTTTAAAATCTGCCCGAGACTGTCGACTTGCTTTAGGAATCACCAGTACATTCAGTTGGCTCACTGCCCAAGCAAATAATCAAGGTAAAATAGGATAACATAATATGTTTGATTTGAATCCTAGATTTCCTGTAACAAATTCAGAGTGGCATAAATAATTATTGAAATACTTTTCTTTCTCATTAGCGATGTTAGTAAATATCTGTCATCTTGCAGTAATGTGAGTGACTCTTTTCTTGTATGCAAATCAAAAGTTTTTGAGCATACAAATCACATGTAATTTGTATTATTATTCTTAAACCATGTGAGTGAAACTACCCAGCTGTTAGACATGTTTATAAGTATGATGCATTAACTAAAATCATTTAGAAGTCATGGTGTATCATATCATTGCCATTATCATACATTACTACCTGAAAACTGATTGATAATAATTTAATTTTACTCAACTTTTGATTTTTTAGGTTTTAGCCATTTTGTGGACCTCACTTACCCCTTAACAAGCCAAACAATTTTGACAGATGGACAGAACTTTACTTTTCTGGCATACCAACTTAACACTCTGGAACTGTGGAAAGATGACAGTGCTAATAAAACTGTTAACCTCTGTTGGCATACAGATGAAATGCCTCTCTATCAGGCAGTTGAAAATGGCCAGGTACTTACACTGCCTGTTATTAATAAATTTCTTTGGGGAATTATTATAGTATTATTAAGAAATAGTGTGTTCCCAAATTTTATCATAGAAATTCACAGTCTACAGAGTTTCCAGAAAATATTTTATGGTTTACCTCAGAATGTTTAATCAATTCAAAATGCAGTTTTATTTTCCTAATGCTATATTAAGTTGTTTTTTATTGATGTAGCTCGACTAGAATTTTAAGCCATCATTAAATTTTAGTTTCCTGATTTCCATAAATGGAAGAGGTCTTGTTTCAAGACATAGAAAGTTATTTCATAGTTAAAATTTGTTTTGAGGCTTTATTATTTTGGATTATGTTTGTTAACCCACTCACTTCTCTCAAATTTCACTCACTCAGGTGAAGGACTTCAACAATGAGACCCTGCAGATGCTGATTAAAATGTTTGCCCTTGCACCCAGTAGCCGAGGTTATAATATGAAACCCACTATAACAGAGATAGATGCTTCTCCTGAGACTGAGGATTTAATACCAAGGAATGTTATTGTGGAGGAAGTTGTAGAAGAAGAAAAATACATTATCCAATGATATTTTTGAAATGGAAAAAAAATTGTCCCTCCAAGTCTGTTTTTGTTGAAACAGACAGAATTTATACAAAATATCTATATAATATAATTAGGGGTGTGCCGGATCCGTTTTTTCCAACCGGATCCGGATTTTCTTATGCGAAATCCGCCGGATCCGGATTCGGATTCCGGAATAATCCGAATCCGGATTCCGGAATAATCCGGATTCCGGTTTCTCCCGGATTCCGGATTTTGGTACTACTGGTAGATACTTCGGTAAGTCAAGGTGGACTACTACTTTTTGTGTATGGGAATTCGCAATCGGCGCCAAAAAATCCGAGTTTTTAATTTTCCGATGTGTGTGTCTATTTATTATTAAATTAGTACTTTCGATATATATTTGAGTTCCGTTCCATTTGGATAAGTGTCTTACGAGAGACGCCATGTTTCTACGCGTTCGCAGCAGGTTATGCAGCTCGCTCAACCTAATTTCGCCATGGGGTTGGCCACGCCCCCCTTTTTAATGGCGGAAGTTGACGATACTTAGGAAATATTAATTTATTATCACTATTTACATCAAAATAATTGATAACTTGTGTTTCAGAATGCATTTAAAGACATTTAAACTGGAATGTTTTAATTTGAGCTTTAACAACCCGGTAGAATCCATATTATAAATGATCAGAATTTACCGTGTGCAACACGTTGTCATTGGCAACCATTCACAGCCACTTGCATAACTGTATCGTAGTACTACCTCAGAGTTTCATTCATAAGAGTTTGCCGTGTGCAAAAACTATTAAACCATTGGTCAGGGAAAGCTTTAATTAATTATTCATGTGCCAAAGTTGAAAGTTTAAACTAAGTCTAAACAGTATTTTAGTGATAAGGCAGGGAATGCGTTGCCTTATATAAACTATATAGTCATTGCGCATGACGGGATTGGCGGAATGAGATCACAGAATGTGGAGATGCAGTCCATGTTAAAAAATGACAAACCAAGTCGTACTTTAAAAATTCATAACTTTAAAACTACAACAGCTAAATATATGATTTTGGTGTTATAATTCTTTAAAAAATTACATCTTTTCAACTATGCCATTGGTTTATTTTTACAAAAAGTTTAAATTTTCTAATCAAAGTCCCTACACTATTGGCCACTATTAGCGGTGCTGACTCTAGCCTCTGGTATGTACGGAATATTAAACATTAAACAAGCTCAACGCTCGAAACAATCGATTAATGTATCGTGATCGTGTGGAATTCGGGAAAGAGAATTACTTTTATTTCAGATTATGATCCGGTGAGTCACAAAATCTGGCAAATTCCGAAATCCGGTATATTCCGGAATCCGGTTGTTCCGGATACATGTAAATCCGGCGGAACCGGATTTCACCGGATAGTGCAAAATCCGGCGGAACCGGATTCCGGACCGGAATCCGGCACACCCCTAAATATAATTAAATAAAAACAGCAGTTGAAATGTAATTTTTATTTTAGAAATTATCTCACTGTGTTGAATTCAAGTAAATTATATTCAATAATAAAATAAGGTTATAAGTCATTGACTAATAATGTGTGATTAGTGATCGTGCAGTTGAATTAAATTATACAAAAAAGCCAGTTTTAATAAATTTATGAGTCTTGCTTGGTGCCTAGTGTTTAATTTAAAGCATTTGATCCCAACATCTTCCTCTATGTGAAGCCATTGTAATATAAATAGGACAATTATCTTTTCCTACTGAAAATATATCTTTTAAAAGCAAATGAAATATTTTATTATATCATGGATTTAATTTAAGGGTTAGAAGGAGTTAATTGTGAAAATTTCTTTAAAAAAGAAAAAATTAAAAGCAAATGTTAAAGCTTTTCATACTTATTAAAAGCTTACAATTTTTTAAAAAGAGTAATTTGTTATTACTTCACCATTTAAAAATATCTTTAACTAAAAAATATAAATCATTAAAATGGCAATATATTTTTAAGCACAGGTATTTGACCCTTTAAATACTCCATGACAAAACTTGGTATCCGATATTTACATGCCACAGTAGCATTTGCAATGGAATTTCTTTAATTTATTTCTATATACCTCTAATATTTAGATGACTTAGTGAGTGCATTAATTTATACTGTTTTAGAATATGCTGAGGTCATCCAAAGTCACTGGACAAGAGAAAAAAATAGTTTTCTTTGAATTAAACACATACTCAAGGCACTTGGTTTCTTGAATTAACCTAGTAAATTTATTACCTGGATTTGCTAGGTTTAAAAAATCCAAACCTTTTTTAAAACATTTTTTGTTTTTCCCCCTTAATAATAATATTCACAGATGATCTTACTTTCACTTTTTATTACGGTACCTAAAGATGGTAATTATGAAATGAACTCTCTTCCTTCTTTTGAGCTAATTCTAATTACCATATTTTCGAGGGAGAAAAAACTTATTGCTACAATAAACAGATTTTTTTTTTAAAAAAAGGATTTCTGATACCTGTTGCCAGTTCTTATTTATTTGCTAGACCACGCTTTCTAGCAGAAACTTAATAGTAACGAAATCCCAATTTTTTTGCGTGCATATTGTTATTATTAGCCTATTTTAATGGTATACAGGTAAAAAATCAGAACAAAAAGCATTTTTTTATTTTCACTACTGTGTCCAATTAATGAACTAATTAATCAAGACATAATACATTGACAAAACAAGTTTTAAATGTAGTTAATAAAAGCACTTTTTTTTTGTCAAAAGAGTTTTTCTTTATTACCCTTGAAACATTTTTATACAAATATACATATACCTTGAATGAGTGAACCACCCAAAAGCTGTAACGATAAAATAATAATAATCTAAATTACCATATGTCTATACAAATCAAAGTGCCACATTTTAAAATAAAATGATTTACCTTAAAAACTAGTCTGTTATTGCCAATAATAAAATAAATAACCTAAATATATTTTTAGTGCCCCAAGAAGGAAAATCACCTTGAAAACAAAATACTTCCTAACTGGGTAGAATAAGTCAATGTATATATGTATAAAATAATTTCATTAAGTTACCAAGTTTACCATGCTTTAATTGGTATAGTAAGTATTATAATTATATATAATAAAATGTTTAAAAAAACAGCTATAATGAAAATCAGCAGTTCTCAAATCTGTTTAAGCCAAATCTTACGACATGTATAAAAAACAAACCCAAGCCATAAAAAAAAAAGATTGAATGTTTAAGTGATTTAACTTTTCCTACTTGATTATGGTATCCCAGCCAATTTTCTTTTGTTTTTGTAAATTGAGATTTTACATTTTAATTCATGAGTAATTGTTTTCATACAAAAACTGAAACCATAACATAGCATAAATATGCAGATTGTTATCAGAATTATCTTAAAAATTAGTTTTTTTGTGGAGTTTTTATGTAAAGGTGACTAGGTTAATTTAAGGGCAAGAGAAGACCAACATTTTGCACCAATAAATTATTCATAAACCATCTTAGAATCTTAGTGGCTAATGAAATAACTAAAAGACTGCAAATTTAAGAAAATCATTTATTTACATCATCACAATGATCTTGTGATAACAAATTTATAAATCTTAATAAGAAGAAATATAAGATGTTCATGTTTGTTACATTTATTATAAAAGCCATCAACAGTCCAATTAAGAAAAGTTGTAGTAGAGGTAATCAGTGTTTAAAAGAACTGAAACCAGAAATACATTTGAAATAAGCAAGTGATTGACTTTTTTATCTACAGTATCTTTCCATATCAACTATTTAAAATTTTAATTTGTAACTTATTTTGGAGGTAAAGTTGGATAGTACCATTCAACACTCAAAATAAGTAACTTCATATCCAATGCTTTCAAAAAAATGAAAATCTATGAGCCCTGTTAATCTGCTACCGGGTACTTAAAATATCTGGCTTGCAATATTTAGATGCATTAAGATTAGCCAAAATTAAATATAACTTTACTTTCACTGATTTCTCTTAAGCGATTGGAGAAATACTGTCCTTCATATATGATTCTACAAATATGATTTTTTTTAGTGTTTTTATAGGGAGGGATAATTTCTCTCATTCTAAAGCTACCCCAAAATTTGTCTACAGTTGGTCATGTACTTTCAATCTAGACAATCTTAATGAGATTTAGAACATATATGGACAGAAACAAAAATGATTGGTTGCAACTATCAATATTTTCTTCATAAAGGTTTATTGCTAATATAATGGATATCACTTTCCTGGAATTCTTAAATCTTGTGTATTTAGGGGAGAAAATAAGTTTGTTCACCACACATTCAGCTTTTTGAATGTTTTTAATAGCTGACAACAAACTATGTACAGTTACATATAATGAAAGATTAAAATCTAATACTGTCTTCAATTGAGGAATTTTCATAGTTTCTAGATTAGCCTATCATAAAATAAAGTTTGTGACTTTTAAATATAGTTAGTTTAATATTGTTTGCATTTACATTCTGGTTGCGAGTAAAAAAAATTTTTTTTGTCTAATCGGCTCTACATTAATTAACAGTATTAATATGCCAAAATGGGGAAGTATGTAATGCTATGTACTCAAAGAAACACTTTCTTTAAAAAAGTACATCTTGTCTATGAGAAAAACTGACTTACAAATATAATTAACAACTTTAATTCTTAAAAAATGTAAGAAGTGGAAGTTAATTTTGATCTGTGTGAATGAATTTTAAAAATCCAGCGGTTGAACATCTGGAGTGTCATCATCAAACTCTTCATCTTCATCCAACTCACAGCCATCATCAGAATCAGAATCCAGATTCATCTGACTGTCCTTTTTCTTAAGAGGTGTTGAGTTGCATCCAAATATTTCATCCCTGCAAAAAAAGTTGTATCAATTGGAAACGGATTAGTCCCAGTATTAAGTAGTGTTTCCTCACCCACAGTCCATAGAACTTTAAAGGGTGAAAACAAACATTTAAAAATTACATTAGGATATGCTGATTATAGGAGACCAACATACAACACTATTTTGGTCAATAAAACTGATTAATGTAAAAATCGCATTTTTAAACCCAATAATTGTTTTGCCAAAGAAAAATTAAAAATTATTAACATGCCTAGTATGGAACCGCTAAAATGTAATTGAGAAATGAAACCCAACACTTATTCAGTTCTGAAATTGAGTGTAAGAAGCAACTGATTAGGAAGATAGTTACATATAATCTTCTGATGTAGCTCCAAAGAGTGATTGTGGGTCAATGTTGGATGTTTGTTGGTCAAGCCGTCCCTTCTGTCTGGGAAGTTTAGCAAGTGTTTCACAAAATTTGTGACCCATTTCTTCCAGCATATCAGTATTGATGTGCATATCCTGCAAAAAGACACATTATTTTGAGATACCGGTACAAATCACTGACTAGAATAACACTAATAACAGTAATATTTTTAATATATATATATTTTTTAACCATGTAATAGTAATAGTCTTCTTCATTTTTTTTTACATATTAAAGTGCTTATTAAGCAAATTTGTCCCTGATTTCAGATGAAAAATCAACACATCCAGATTTCATGAAAACTGTGTCTCCCAAACTTTTCTATACTCTGTACACCCTACAAATAATTTGACAAGTCTTGCACCCCCTACCAATTGTTTTACCAAATCCGATTGTTTTACCAAATCCGCACTCCCTTCAAAATTATCAAAGTATTTTGAAATGTGACATAAATTGACTTCTAATTTATTTATTGAATTGCAAAGAGAGCAGTCAAAGAGAACGGGCTTCAAAAATAAACTTGTGACTTATTACATAAATTTGAAAGTTAAAGAACAAAGGTTTAAAAATATATAAACACTTTTATCACAACTTAAACACTAATGTCTCCTTTGTTCTTACAATACAATTTTTTACACCCCCTGAAATGCCACCTTCCACCATCCCCGGTTGGGTAACTTTGATTTAAATATTAAATTGTTAATTTTAAATTGATTTTCACTTAAGTTATCTTTTTTTTGTCCCGATCAAAAGTTTGATAAAAGCTATTAAGGAAGGTTGAAAAGAACTTTGCTGACTCTCACTGATTTAACTTTAATGAAATATATGAAAATGATATTATTTTGAAATTTCTTCTATATCTTAAGGGCCCACGATCAATTTATTGATCATTTTGGCTCCTATGTATGTAGATGGGATTTGCAATGTTTCTGTGCCTGGTGTTGATGAGGAAATTTCACTGATTTCCAGTGCCACTTTGTGAGGGAATCATGCACTAGGGGTTTGAAGGCTTGAGGCAATAGACACAAATGTGTCTAGTTTTGTCACCTCAACCATTCCTTTTGAAAGCTTGTTCCAGTCCCTGATTGTCTTGGGCAGGAATGAGCAGCTCCTATACTGGCTTCTTGCTGGTATGAGCCTGAATTGCCTGTCATGGCTTCGTTGCTGTCTATGGGGAGAAGGACGAGTTTCTGTTTAATACTGGAACAGTGGACCAGCCCATTATTTATCTTGTACATCATGGAGAGCCTGGATTGTCGTCGTCGTTCCTCCAATGGTGACCAGCCTAGTGTTTTCAGCATGCTGCCAACACTAGAGGTATTCCTGTGGCGGTTTAGGACAAAGCGTGCTGCTCGTCGCTGGACCGCCTCCAACCTGTCAATGCTCTTCTGGGTAAATGGGTCCCAGACTGAAGATGCATAATCTAATTAATGTACAAAGTCTTAATTGCCCTACAATCAAAGGGACAAAAGCCAAATTTTTGGTGATTCCTTAAAAAAAAACATATACACTTGTTCTGGGGTAAAACATCAATGTCAGGGCTCATAATTACCTTATATTTGCCCTGGTCACATCCACAATAGCTTGATTCCATGGTGTAGGACCGAAGGACTCCTATCTCCCTCCACACCACCACACGAGCTGTGCTTTCCTTGACTTTCTCTACCACAAAACTGCAGTTCTGGATCGCAAAAGATGGGCAGCTGGTATGCAGAAGACGAGGGAGTTGCTGTGAAAGTGGTTTCAATAACAACATTAAGCAATATGATCCTGTTCAGACATATCCTGCCGCCTGAATACAGTACCGGGTATTGAAGATTCCAGACCACGTCATTTTCTTTTATAGAAGATGTTATTTCAAATTGAGAAAATAATGATCTTTCATAGTGTCTGCATCCTCCAAAAAAACAATGTTTATTCTCATTTTATATTTCATTTCAGTTTTTCACATTCATCAGCTCCTTGGAAGTCAATTGCAATATATTGTATGAAAAATAAATATGTATATGTTTAGAAATATCTACATATGCTTCAGAAAAATCTCTTAAGATTTTCATCAATTTTTTCCTTTGAAAAAATAAAACAAGTACTAATTAGTACTATGATCATTTATCTTTAATTTTGTCTCTATCATCCGACTGACCTTGTAGTAGGACTCATTAATTTTGTTCCCACCACTTGCAGGATTCTGGGTATCATTACTGATCCAAGACTGGTGAGGGCTGCACCCGTACATGAAGATATTTTTACGCCTTGAGTGGCCATGATAGTCACAGTAAACCTGCAGGCACAGAAATGATTTCACTAAATAAAAATTTAGCATGAGAAATTTTTCAGAAATTTTACAAATTAAATAAGTTCAATTAGGATAGAAAATTTAATTATCTGAAGTAGTGGTCACTTGACATATTAGGTATATACCTTTAAGATGCATCAAATAAACCCATAACTAATCAAAATTGTATAAAGATGTGGAACCATTGAATCAGCTCCGATATTTTATCCATTAATTATGTAAATTAAACTTTGCTATATTACTATTAGTATTATGTCTCAAAAGATAAAGATGGTCAAACTTTGGTGGACAACAACTCTAAAATAATAGAATTTGATAATTTGCAGTGTCTGACATATTGTTAACTTGGAATAATAATTTTATTTTGATGAAAATCTGTATTTATAGAGGTACACATGCAATTATAAAATACTTAAAAAATTCATTTTCAAATAATGCTTCTGCCTGTTGCCATGATTAGTGCTGGGAGACTTGGACAATGCACAAGAAATTAATTTATTTCTCAAAGTGTAACAACAGCTTAGTATTAGTAATTAAAAATGATGAAAATAAGTGTAAAGTGATTTGGGTCTGAAAGAAAATTCGTAACAATGAAAATTGAATTTGTAAGGTGCTTACTATTGGGTGTTAACAACAGTAACTGAACATTAAAGGTGAACATCAGGATTGCAGAAGCAGCAGCAACTATGGCTAATTTGAGCAAGCGGATGTGGAATAATCCTAAACTAACTGAAAGTAGAAAAACTAAACTAAGCATCTATCAGGCATTTATGCTCAGTATGCTTCCAAATGACAGTGAAGTGTGCACCACATATGTGAGACATGAACGGGACAGCTTCCACCAATGATGTCTGCATCGCATTTAATGGATTCGATGGCAGGACATAGTGCACATCACGGATGTTTTAAAATGGCAAAATATGTAGCCTGTTCTCTGCTCTTAGCAGGAAGCACCTTTGCTAGTTAGGTAATGTAAGGACAATGGAGGAAGGCTGTATTACAAAGGATCTGCTGTATGGAGAGTTGGCACAAGGGGCAAGATTTGGTGTAATGCCGTGGCAGTGATTTAAAGACATTTGCAAAAGAAGCATGAGGGGAGCCAACACAAAAAATTAACAAATGGAAGATCATCTCTAATCACTGTTTCATCTAGCAAACAGCAGTGTATGAAGGAGTAAAACAGGCGGAAGAAGAACAAAACAAATACTTTGCAATAAAAAGAGCATTACGGAAGGCCAAATTTTAATAGGAGTCAAGGTTCTCCTGCGAGAAGTGCAGCCAAGACTGCCATTGCTCTTAAGCTTTTTGATGAAGTGTCAAGAGCTACTCCATCATCTCACGATGATTGAAGGATGCCATAATATTTAATGTATGTAAAATACTAAATGAGATGTGACTTTTCAAGCCCTGACAGTTACAATATTAAACAAAGTTCTAGCTTTGGTAACAGGTTATTTTCCAAGCTTTGTTATTTACAAATGACCTCATAAATATAGCAGCCACTCGACCTCCTTGATATTTTTCTTAACCTTTCAGCAAACAAACTGACCAAGGGAGTTTTGTTAACAGCACTCAGATACTGCAGAAGTCCTTTTGTATGGTATATTGTGGGGTGGAGTGTTGGGCAAGGTTTGCCCCACCGACGGTTGAGATCTTCTCCTACTAGCGACGACCGGTGGCTGGAAAATGCATTACATTTGAAAGTGTGGTTAGGTTTATTTTAACAAATACACTGATAGACGTGCTGATAAGGTTTAAGTCAATTCTTTATCTTTCTTAAAATGACAAACATATTTACATTTGCGTTTACATCTTATAATTTATATAGAACAGTAGAACGTAAACCAACTCAATTTTGAATATTTGCTATTGTTAAATGATGCAAATATGAGTGAAAAGATATTCACAATGCAAAGCGAGAGTTAAGTGGGACACAATAAAGGTAGAAACTTTAATAATTTTAATTGATGTGGGAAAAAAAAGACTTTAAAAAAATGATTTTCTTGATTTCATTCTTGTCCAAACATGGCTTTGTCATTAAAAGTTTTCTGATGATTAACATTTTGTTGGTTTACTGATGACATTTTGACCAGATTAATCTCTTTAAATGGAAATGGTGATTTCAACTTACTTGCCATTAATAACTCCATCAGGGTTTAGCATAGGCACAATTTTGAAGATGTACATCTCTCTTACATGCTGTGCTTGAGGTTTTCGACTTAAGAGGAAGTCAATGGTTCCTTGAAATCAAATTTGAAAAATTGGGCTTCCAATTTATTATGAGATATTAAATTAACTGTGTATTTGTTGATGTCCGCATGCAAAGGTTCCAAAAATTAAATTTTCCCAGCCCCATAACCATCTACCAAACAACATAAACCTTGCATACATTAGTTTTGGTTGAGAGCGCTAACCCAACACCTCAGTAAAAACAAACTGCCAAAATCTTGTCACAATATGGTATCAAAGTGTTTTTATATAAAAATAAGAATGACAATATTAACAAAGTGTTTCTCAAGATTATTTGATAATAACCTTATCAACACAACTTTTTTAACTTATTTAACACAACATATTAACACAACTTATTAACCTATCGACACAACTCATCAACACAACTTGTTAACACAACTTATTAATCCAATAAACAAACACAAAATTTTATTCCATTTTTTACTGACCTTTCATAACCCAACTAGCATTACTCTCCCCTGGATGCACTCTTCCACTCAAGAAAATGTAAGGCCTGCTACCTGGATTTGGGCAAGTTTCATAATAAAATTATAGTACACACCAATGAACACAATTAATAACATTAGTACAGAAATGAAGCATATAGAAATTAAAATAAAGCTCACTATAATATATCAAATTTTATTTGCATGACTTCCAAAGAGATGAATTGTGATAGTGCATACATCACAACTTCTTGGATACAAACCCTTTGCAAAAATAAAATACCCTTTATAAAACAATGAAAAGCTGAAATAATTATCTTTAGTTACTTTAATTTATATTTTAAATAAATTACCATGTTTTTGCATCTAACTATACATTTCCCTGTCTATGATTTTCAATTTACAGTATAGAGATTTAAAATTTTATTTCTGATCATAAAAGCCCAAAGAGATTTCATTAAAAAAATTTTGTCAGTTGTATGTGATGCTCTGGATAATTGAAGCCTAAATAATCAGAAGCAGACCTGTTTACCCTCGAACTCCTAAAATCATACTAAATTGTCTCAAAATGTACAATGCAGTACCGGTATCTTAATAGTAAATAAGGAAACATAAATATATAATGTATACAATAACTACTCGCATTGCGTGTCTAGTGGGATCGAGTTAAGTTGGCATCAAAAATGTAACTTCTAAAAGTTCATGACTGATGTCTATATTGTAATCTGCTGTCAATTTGTCTTGCAGATGTCTGTCTGCTATAGATATCAATTAATATTTAGGAGAACATGCAGATCACATTATTACAGTCTGTTACTGGTAAAAGTATATTATAGTTATTGGTGAAGTTTAATATGATTTAAACTCTAAGTCAGATCAGCATGAAATAAAAAAAATTAAAAAACCTACCAAGTAGCTTGAGATTTATTTTTTACGTTTGCGTTTTTAAAAAAAAAATATTGAGAATCAATATCCATTATGCCCATTTCCCGTTAATACATTACAGTCTGATAACTACCACATGCTGTCAATCGGTGAAAGGAAGAGGGGTTTGAAAATCATAAAGCTGTTTGGTGCGTTATAAAATAGATTTCAAAGGCCCTCTCAGATCCTATAAAATATGTTGAAATCTAATGTTGGTTACGTTACATTATGTATATATTTTCAACCCGGTCTCTTAAAATCATAGTTCTGACAGGTCTTGTTGTACAAGTGTAAAAAACATCTGAAAATGTTACATTTTATGCCAAAATCTTAAGAGTAAACAGGTCTGTAGAAGGCATCATTTATTTCAGTTAGTTAGAGAACTTCCAGCTCTAACAGTCTAACTTTCTAATAAGTCTTATTAAGTTGGGTTCAGCCATCTCCTCTAAAGCTCCCGGTTTATTAAAAGTAAATGGTAGTTAGTGAAACAATGTAAATTGTAAGATGCCATGATCTGTAACAACAGAGTTATAATAAATTATATCAAAAAGTATTTAAAACAAATTAAAAGTATACTTGAGACAATGAATTAGCACAAGAGTACTGATGATGTTTTAAAATGATCTCAAAGCGACTCCCAATTCGGACACTAAGACTATTCATGAATGATTCAGTCAAAGCTCTATTTTTATACCAAAATTCATTCATCTAACCACTGCTTCTATGACCATTTTGACTGGACCAGTAGGCTTGGTACTTCACTGCAATAAATATTATTTAACTTTTCTACAAGATAATTTGAAATTGTGTGAAAAAAATAATTTAAAACAAGGTAAAAAAAGAATGTATATGATATACAAATATGGAACACCAACAACAGATGCAAAAAATAGGTATCCCATGTAAAAGACATTTAGTTAGAAATCTATAAATTCTAATATTTTTATTTATTATATACTTTTCTTTTTTTTGTTAAAGGATTTTTTAAAATTTTACATTTACTACATATAGTTTTGAAAGTAATCGACTTACACTTACAGCTGGTAAAAACAAAACCTGAAAACACTTACGTAGCTCTTCCAGACCTTCTTTGTCAGTACGTCGAGGCTGGGCTGTAATAGTAAGCAATGGTACAGTGTTGCCTCCCAGCGTTGTGCACAGTGATTGGTTACGGAAGTAGATAAGGTTGTCATTGTAATGCTGTTCCCATTGTTTGAGATGGGTCTGAAACAAACAAAAAACAATATTAAATGACTTGTTTATGGGTACAAGATTTTATTGTACATACTATGTGACAGTGTGTGTGACTGATGATTATTCTAGTGTGTATCAAGTGAACTTTGTGACCTCATCGGCCTCTGTTGTTATCATGTGGTATGACTGGACGTGGTGAGTTGTTTACATGAATGTTTAAACTTAAAGGTGTGAATATTGGTTGGATAAATAGAGTGAATGATCATGATGTGAATCGTGTGATGTGAGTTATAAAAAGAATGTAGAATGAGGAATAACGATTAGTTGTTACACAGACCACAGATGAGTTGGGATCACATTTTACGATTACATCCAATGAGATTTGATAGAAGAGTAAATCAAAGAGTAAATGCTGAAATAATATATATATACAACATTTTTAATAACCAAGGAAAAATAATGTACAAAATCAAGTACAGAACACAAGATTTAACCAGGCAGAAAATAGGCACATATCATACCACTTGGCATACATGTCAAAGTCATCCTTTATTAAGTTAGTTAAAGAAAAGTTTTTAGATCAACATTAATACTATCATAGTACATGGCAATCCTAAATACCTCTTGTTTTCATCACATATATTTATGGTGCAATTTCTGTTTAAAGCAAGGCAAGAAAATTTTTTTAAAACTAAGTTTTTAAGTACCACCTAACTACAGTAATTAAGATACAAAAAGGGAAAGTATTTCCACATAGCTGGATGTTTGTTATACAAACTTTCTCTGAAGCACCACGCAAACCAAAGATATATATGTTTGTAAATACAGCACAGACAAAGGAATATGAGTATATTTACATGTCCTCTTAAACAGAGAAAATAACGGGGAAACTTTTTAACATTTGTCACTTTCCAAAAGAGAAACTTAAATAATAATAGTCTAAATATAATGCTAGCTATCTAATAAAATGATAACACAAACCCTTGCAATTAGATAAAAATAATAACATTCAGGCCCAATGAAAGAATTAAACAAAACATAAAAACATTCCAATTTATTCTCTGATTAGTGTCATTAAAATGTCTGTCACATAAACATGGGCAGATAATCATGTTCAATACACTTTAATTAATTTTGAATGTGACATAATCACATCTTCACTTCACTGGTTTTTTTTTTGTATCTGATTTGAGGAAAACTGCCATAAATAATGGAATACCTTTAAAGCAGTGTAGGTGTATGGATAGTGGTAGCTCAAGTAGCATACGTCTCCAGCATGTGGGAAGGTCAAGGTGAAGGTTGTTGTGTAGTAGGATTTGCCTTGTATTCCACCAGTGGTGTTTGCATTGCGGATGAAATGGTTTTTATAGTAGCAAATATCTTTACCAACTCTGGCCCAGCATGGGTTGCCTTCAAGGGCTTCAATTACTGACATCATCAAGGGTTGCATGCCTGAAAAGTATGGATTATAATCAAGGAGAAACTAGTTGTCAAGCTTAAACACCCCCCTCCCACCCCATTTCTTTCCCCCCACTATTTTGGTGTAAAATAAAATTCCTCATTTTAACATGAATGTTATTATTTGTGGAACTTAAAAGATTCATGGATAAAGTTGTGCTCCTTGAAATAATGAGGATATTGAAAGTTAATTCAGTTAATGAAAATAATATTAGCATTGTTTTTCATTGCTAAAATAAAATGTTTATTTATGTCTATAAACCTTATTTCGACTCTTTTGAACCATATGCCATACAGAGTAATTGGCCTTGGGAAGTTTACAAGCAAAAAAAATAATAATTAATTGCACCTTCTCTTACAGATGTTGATAGCAAAATACTATTGTGCACCTGCTTCATTTTTTTAAAAATAGTGTTGAGCTTCAAGAGTACAAAAAAAGATGGTTTCCAAATTTTATTTGCTCACATTTAATTTTCTGTAGAACAGCCTGATGATAGTGATAACAAGATAACTTGAAAGTTTTTTAATGAACATACGTCATACATAATTATTGCAATGAACTTTTCCAAAACTGATCATGATGTCAACCAGGTCATGTCGTCAACCAGGTCATGATGTCAATCAGGTCATGATGTCAATCAGGTCATGATGTCAATCAGGTCATGATGTCAATCAGGTCATGATGTCAATCGGGTCATGATGTCAATCAGGTCATAATGTCAACCAGGTATTACCCCAAGTGCCGTGGCAAGACTCACCAAAGTTAAACTGGCTGTTGACTTTCTCACAGTTGACAATGTTGAACCTGTAAGGCTGGCCTTGCCTCATGTTGCTCACTTCAAAGTAAAACCACTGGTGGTGATGGTTGGAGTTTATGTCAGGGTTCAGGATCAGATCATATTCATACTGTCTCACCTGTAGAAATTAGGACAGTTCATATTCATACTGTCTCACCTGTAGAAATTAGGACAGTTCATATTCATACTGTCTCACCTGTAGAAATTAGGACAGTTCATATTCATACTGTCTCACCTGTAGAAATTAGGACAGTTCATATTCATAGTGTCTCAACTGTATCAATTATGACAATCCATATTCATAGTGTCTCACCTGTATAAATTATGATAATTCATATTCATACTGTCTCACCTGTATAAATTATGACAATTCATATTCATACTGTCTCACCTGTAGAAATTATGACAATTCATATTCATACTGTCTCACCTGTATCAATTATGACAATCCATATTCATAGTGTCTCACCTGTATAAATTATGATAATTCATATTCATACTGTCTCACCTGTATAAATTATGACAATTCATATTCATACTGTCTCACCTGTATAAATTATGACAATCCATATATACTGTCTCACCTGTATAAATTATGACAATTCATATTCATACTGTCTCACCTGTATAAATTATGACAATCCATATTTATACTGTCTCACCTGTATAAATTATGACAATTTATATTCATACTGTCACACCTGTGACAATTCATATAACATAATGTCCAGCTGCATAAATGCAGAATGTCTCAGTAGTATATATATATACATACTGTCTCATCCTTTTAAATACACAATGCCTCACTACTGAATGGCTCACCTGAATGATTGTGAGAATTAAGCCACTGATGTAAATTATACTACTTTGAGTTTGCAAATGAATGTAACAATTTATGCCAATTTTTAGCTCAATGTCATTTGAAATAACTTAATGGAGAAAAAAAAGGGAAAAGGGGGGATGTTTGACATATATTAGCATTTCCTTTTTCTTTCTTGTTGACCTTCAACTTACTTGTATAGCTTTTCTGAGATTGCCACATTCAAACTGGGCAGAAAATTTGAGAGACTCTGTATGTACATCAAGGAAACCTAACCTAGAACAAAGAGGTCATCAAATGTACATCCAGGAAACCTAACCTAGAACAGAGAGAGCTGATCAAATCTTACTGACAAATAAAACATTATTAATGGTATACTTTCTGGTTAGGTCAAGTGAAACAAAAAAAAAAAGGACGCAAGCAAAAAAAATTATCCGTAAGTTCAACTTCTGACAATATTTAGTTTGTTTTGCTCTTGTGTATGTTTCATTGCCATGAAGATTTAAAATTTAAAAAAATGACATTAGTGCAGCATTTTATTCCAATAACATAGTCTGTAAAACTTGGATGAAGCTTCATTCAATAGGTCACAAGTAAACTTTCTCTACTTTACCTTTATCTTACAACATTATATTATACTTAATACTAAATTATGCAGAGTATGTCACTTTCTAACTGGCATTTGTTTTGTTTAAAAAGAGATACTTTCCATTCTTGCCTATTTCTGCAACTGTTTGCACTTTTACAATCAAATTTGTAAAAGATGAAAGGATAATTGTTCAATATAATATACCAAAATTTTCACTAACAGTACCTCATACACAATTTTACCTCAGCTCGTCTTGGTTAGATAATCCTGTTTGGTCTGTATCATTGCTTTCCACATCAGACGCTCTCCCACTACAAGTACCCCCTTGCTCTAGCACGATTTTATCATAGTCATAGACAACACGATCTACAAGTTGGTCGGCATGAATCATTCGATCAATGTCCTCAAAGATCTTAGACCTTGTACCGAAAAAGAAAATTAAATTGATAACATTACTGCATTAGCCTGTCAAGATGACTTAATTTATGGGCCTGTCAAGCTTATTCTTCCATAACATTGTTTAGACCGTAAACATTGATCAGATACATTAATGCAAGGGCTCATAACCTATAGGACACATCTGTAGAGGTCAGTGGAAAGGATTTCAGAAGGGTTGGAGAATAAACACAATTTTATGAATTCTACTAATCTCAAACTAAAATTTAACAAAAGTTTTAAAGGACTGGTTAAAGATTATATCCATTTTAAAAAAAAAGAAAAAAAAGCTAAGGATTAGAGGATGTAATGGAGATGAAATGAAATTCAGCAGAATCTTGGCCTGGTTTACACTAATATGATTAATAAATATAAAAAAATAACTTGACCAACCTTTGAACACCAAATTTGCGACTACTCAAGGGCTCCATCACTTTATAAAGCCCTTTTATCCCATAAAGATCAGGAAATGCCAGTTTTTGGAACATGTGTGTACTCTGTGTCTGAGCTGCCAGCCGGGTGTAGAGATCTGCATCATGGGGAAACTCACAGAACTCATCTTCAAACTCATCATAAAATGTCACCTGAGCAGAAATATAGGACAGTAAGTAGGACCTGTTGATTAGCTCCAGAGTTTACAAAATATTTACAAATAAATCAAATTTAATTTTGATCAAAGGTCTTGAAGACAAGGATGACATATATTCGTCCGTTCATTTTATTCCATAAAGATTATAGCCCCACCCCCCCCCCCCCCCTTTTCCCCCTTTGCTGTTATTTCTGTGTGTTCAACTGTGATATTAATTTTCTTGTTAGATTTAACATTAAATTAATATTACATTCTAGGGATTGATCAAACATCTTGTAATTTCTTTGAAAGGGGTATAGCAATAATTTCATTTTGTATTTTCATTCAACATGGCTTTTAAAAAATGTGTGACTAAACAAAACATATTCCAAGGAATTTAAAGTATAAGTTGAACAAATAAAATAATATAAAGAAATACAATTTAATAAATTACATTACGTTAACTGTCAGTCACTGAAACTGAAATTGGAAACTTTCACACTAGCCTGCTTAAATAAATGAATACCGTTGGTTTCAATATAAAGTCAAATGCATAACAAGACAATGGTCCGTGTATCAAGTCAAATGCATAACAAGACAATGGTCCGAGTATCAAGTCAAATGCATAACAAGACAATGGTCCGAGTATCAAGTCAAATACATAACAAGACAATGGTCCGAGTATCAAGTCAAATGCATAACAAGACAATGGTCCGAGTATCAAGTCAAATGCATAACAAGACAATGGTCCGAGATGGGCTCAAATCTCAATAGATTAATCAAAGGCAAAAATGTTGTGCAAGTTGGTCACCTGATCAACATCTTCAACTTGCATAGACCTCATCGCGGTCAACCCATCAATCAAACATTCATCCAAGTGTGTCACTGAAATCTTTCGACTGTTACGACGGTCCTTTGATGCTGGCAGTTTTTTTTTCTGCTTGCTTCTAGAGTTGCTCTTGGAAGTTTTGACAGACAAAATGTTCTGGCGCTGCCCCATGTCAAGGGAAAAAATGGTTGCTCCTGATTTTAAATTTAAAGCACTAACACTTTTTTCTTCCTGATTGCCTGGGAGAGAAAAAGATCATTTTAATCTGATATCACAAACTAACTGGGAGAGTTAATTAATAGAAAATTACTTTGAAATGTGTAAACAACATTTTTAAAAGACATAAAAAAGTTAATGGGGGGGGATAAGTGACAAACCTTTCTCAGCTAGAAATTGCTGGAATATGTTTGGGGCGCTTGATGATTCAATACTAAGTCGTTTCTGCTTGTCATGAATGTTGACATCAGATACAGTGTGCTTCATGGTTGGACTATCAACACTGCTGCTAGGCTGATAGCTACTTAAAAACCCAGAGTGGCATCTTTGTAACGGAGTGGCCGTTGAACTTGTGCAAAACTGTGTCTAGTGAAATAAGTTCAAGGTTTTTAACAAAATTGTTCATGTGCAAATCAGAGCTATAAGGAGTTTTTTGTTTGTTTTTGTTTTAAATTATCATTCACGGCTTACAGCTGCCTACTGGGCTGGTGAGTCCATTCCTACAAGCTATTTGCTCAAAGCTGGAGATGATCTTGAGGATTTCAAACCCACTACCTCTAGCAGACCTGTCTACCCTCAAACTGCTAAAATTTTACAACATCGTCAAAAATCCTACCATACAATATCTTAATATCAATAAATAAACATAAAATATATAATAATGCATACTACTCACAAGGTGTGTCTAGTGGGATCTAGTTTAGCTGGCATAAAAAAAAAAAGGCAATTTCTAAAAGTAGATGACTGTCGTTTATATTGCAATCTGCAGTCACTTTGTTTTGCAGACGTGTATTTGCTATAATATTAATTTATATTGAGTGGACATACAGATCACATAATCACACTCCTTCACTGTTAAAAATAAAGTTACTGATGAAATTTAATGTGATTCAAACTCAAAGTCAGATCAGGATAAAATAAAATTGATTGAAATAAGAATTAATTAACAAATGATGACATCATTTAAACATCCTACCAAGGAACTTGAAAAGCCTATTTCCTGCTAATATATTGTAGTCTGAAAACTATCACAAGCTGTAAATGGGTGAAAAGAAGAGGAGCATTGGAACCAAAAGGGGGTATTAAAAGTCATACAGTTGTTATGTGGATTCTAAAAATAGATGCAACGGTCCTCTCAGATTCTATAAAATATGTCAAAATTTAATGTTGCTCGGTGGAACAGTTGAGAATGCATTCTCTAGTTTTCTCTGTTTCAGCACTTGCTGCATGAAATAATTTTGTTATGTCATACAGCTTCGAAGATGACAAAAGCAAGGTTTTACTAAAATTGTCGCCAAGACGACTACGCTAATACAACTGTTTCCGTGTCTAGACACAAAGCAACAATATGCTTATCTCCATTATCATTGTGAAAATGTGGCAGTGTTAATTTATAGACTTAAAAATTTGGACACCCCCCCTCCCCACACCCAAAATCTCCTAAATCAACACCACCACCTTCCCTCTCATTCCAAAATTAATATTATAATAGTAGGTTCTTAATCAATCATATTTCTGGACCCATTCACTGCTGGATGTAGAAAGCTGCTTGAAGCTAACAACCCAAAATGCTCTTTTTAAATATTATTTATTTATTGGAAAAACTACAGGAATGAATATATTTTCAACCCAGTTTTTAAGATCATATTTATGAAAGGTCTTGGAGTACAATTGTAAAAGACACCTCAAAATCATAGATTGTAAGCCGAAGTCATAAGAGTAAACAGGTCTGCTCTTGCCAAAACAGGCAGATGACATTGCAGCACAGCACTGATAATATTTGGGTCAGACACCACTTGTAAAACATTTCAATAGTTCATCTTTGAATATGGGTATTATTAAAGAAATAAGAAATCTTTAAAAACCTGTTTGCCTTCTGCTCCCTGGAAATCAAAAAGCCAAGACAAATGCAAACAACAAAAACAGCTGGACAGAATTTATTATCCCACAGCGACAACCTTGTAAAATATCAAACTAAGCTTTGAGATATTAACCTCCGACTCTGTGGCTTCAGCAAAGAATTGGTCGTAAGTGTGAAGATCTTCCAAAGTTCTACCTTCATTAAGGTCAGGGCCGTCTTGTAAATCCTCATCCGGCTGCAAGTATTCAATAAAATATATTTATTACACACAAACAGGAGACATTAGATATGTTAGAAGCTGGAAAATGTTGAAGTATAGCATCGTTTTAAAACTTTTTGTCTTATAATGAACATTGATTTCAAATTTCATCACAAGACATGCTGTTTATACTATTTTAATACTAATACACAAACTTTGAGTGTTAATAAACTAATTTATAGTGTTAATGTTATTAAAAGAAATAGGCTGAGTAAAAATTCGGGAAATCTGTTTAAATTATTATAAAATTTAAAAGCGGAAAAAAATTAACTCACTTCCTCAGGTTCTGTACGAAACCGTTCATCATCACTATCAATGTCATCATCTTCTTCCTCCTCATCGATGGAACTGTGCTCACTCTCTGCTCTGGCTTTAGGTTGGCCAGTTCCTTTAGTGATATTAATCAAATATACAGTAAATCTATATGCAGTATTTTATTATATCTGGCATTGCAAATAAAATGTAAGTTCATTCATAATTTTAGAATAAAAGCTTTTAAATTGATAAAATATGAAAAAATAATGGACTTTCTTCAATTCTATATAACTATAAATTTTCATTATTAAAATATATTGATAAAGTCTTAAGAATAAAATTTATAAATTTATAAACCTGAGCTATAGAAAAAATATATCATTATTATCATAAATAATTTACTTTTTTTTTTATCTACACAGCCTTAATTTATATCTGTCATATACAAAATTTACAAAATTATTTGTCCAATAATTCTCTAATTTTCTTTAGGAACACCTTAAATCTAAAGCTAAGACTCACTCATTTTATATTTTGCTACATCAAAGATTACCAAAATATTCCTATTTATAAATATATAAGTAGCAAATATTCTTCTTTAAATTAATATTGTCTGTGAGGAAAAAATGATTTCAACCACCAATCAGGCTCTAAGACTTGAGCTCCACCTCAGGCTATAAATCTTGAGCTCACCATCATGCTCTAAGACTTGAGCTCAGCATCAGGCTCTAAGACTTGAGCTCAGTATCAGGCTCTAAGACTTGAGCTCAGCATCAGGCTCTAAGACTTGAGCTCAGCATCAGGCTCTAGGACTTGAGCTCAATATCAGGCTCTAAGACCTGAGCTCAACATCAGACTCTAAGACTTGAGCTCAGCATCAGGCTCTAAGACTTGAGCTCAGCATCAGGCTCTAAGGCTTGAGCTCAACATCAGGCTCTAAGCCTAGAGCTCATGATCAGGCTATAAATCTTGAGCTCAGCATCAGGCTCTAAGGCTTGAGCTCAACATCAGGATCTAAGCCTAGAGCTCATGATCAGGCTATAAATCTTGAGCTCAGCATCAGGCTCTAAGACTTGAGCTCATCACCAGGCTATAAATCTTGAGCTCAGCATCAGGCTCTATTACTTGAGCTCAGCATCAGGCTATAAATCTTGAGCTCAGCATCAGGCTCTTAGACTTGAGCTCAGCGTCAGGCTCTAAGACTAACTTGAGTATGTGACTTCTTGCAGGAATCATCAAGAACACAAAAACAAAAAGAATCAAATGCTAAAACTCTTTTGACCTAAATTTATACAATTCAGTTTCAGAATTTTCAATAATTTTTTTAATAAAGTATGGCTTAAATATGCATGAGGACTTTATGTATAAAGCAAAACTCTAACTGAATAGTACAAATATTCAAATAATTGTAATGATATCTTTCCAAAGTAGAATTTAAAAAAATAAAAAACAATTTAAATGAGAATCATATGCACTAAAATTTGATTAATGGAAACTCAAAATCTTGATGCAAAATTTAAAAAAAAACAATAAATTAATGGACTGATCAAAACATAAATCAATGAATCAGAAGGTTGAAATTCCCAGCATGTACCAGGTATCACTAAATTGTAGAATGCACCACAAATTTGCTGTAGCTTCTGTGATATGAATGTCTCATTAGTCCGGGCCTGCTCTTCAGTTAAGTCAGGGGTCAAAACTCCGGATGTAATCAAAGAAGTATGGCCACCAGATGACGCAGCTAGCATTATTTTTTACAGAATAATATTAACATGAAAAAAAGGAACAACCCATTCTTCTGGAAATCAAGTTGCTTGTAGAAAAGTGTCATAGAAAGTTCAACTAATATTCTCATGAGCTTTTCTTGCTCATTCACATCACAATGTGAAGAGGTTGAGAGTAGCTGCAGTAAGGTTAATACACAGCCAGCATTGCTGAAACTTTCCTCCTAAGCTTTAACACACAATACTTAGGCATTATTGCTAAAACTTTCATCTTAAGCTTTGATACACAATCCTTAGGCATTATTGCTAAAACTTTCATCTTAAGCTTTGATACACAATCCTTAGGCATTATTGCTAAAACTTTCATCTTAAGCTTTGATACACAATCCTTAGGCATTATTGCTAATACATTTATCTAATCAAAGAGTTAATTCCCCTTTGAGATATTTATTCTCTTCTAAAATTTAAAAATAACTCCTGTTGATCAACTGCTCACTAACCGCATCTTCATTGAGTGGGTTCACAAATGAAGTTATTTTTTCAGAGAGGTAGATTGAGAAACAGAATGACATTAGATGCACGATGATTAAAAAAAATGGCATGACTTCTTTGTGGCCTTAACATCCCTGTAAATGTACAGCCAAGAGCAACTCAACATTGGTTTAAACAACACTAGCCAACATGCATTTTTACAAATTCACAAAAGTCACAAACTTAAAGTGGACATTTTAAGTGGATTCCTTAGATGTCTCTACCATCGCATATTTACTTTGCCACCCAATCCCAAATCAATCTATACTTGAATAATTTAAGTCATTAGTTCAAAATGTAGTATTGCCAGACTTGGAGCTTACCAAACAAATAACCCTAATTTAAATGTCAGAGACTTTTTGAATGATGATAAAGCTTACAATTTTGCACAGTCTAAAAACTAAACATCAACAAATTCATCACTCACCAGAAGAGTTGGCCAAGCGGACACATTCAGGAGTATGAATGGATGATGTTGGCAGTGGAAATATGACTGGGCTCAAAGTTGAGTCCAGAGGTAATTTATTTCTCGGGCAACATTTCCGAAGGATCACGCTGGCCAACAGAATTAAGCTCTCCATGTCCCGACTATCACTTGCTTCCAGTGCACTCTCATACAAAGTTCGGATACCATTAGCCTCTACAAAAGCTTTACGACCTGATCCTGAAGATTAAAAACTTAGATTTTTATTTTCTTGAAAAGTTTATTTTTTAATTTGATTCCATCCAGAAATCAATTTTAAAAATGTATGCAACTTATTTATTTGCAATAAAGATTGCCTAATACGGAAATCAAATTTAAAAATGTATCTCACTTATTTGTTTGCAATAAAGAATATCGAATTCTTCAGTAAAAATCTGTACATTGCAAACTCGTAAATAGGCAGAACCATCCATTTTAAATGTATTTAAAAATTTTAATAGAGAGCAAGCCACGCCTTTTTAAAATCAAGTCTTGATATATATTTTAATGTAAGAAAAAATTCATATTTTATATTATAGAACCATAAATTACAAAGAAAAAACAATGTTTATGGTAGTTTTAAAAATCTGAAATAAAAATACAACTGGTACTGATCATGGGTAGCAGAGTGGCACTACTTAATTTATAGGTATGTTGTAAAGCATGCGTATTCTTTATGTTCCAAAGACACACACTGAAACATACGGTTAACAATTTTTCTCTTTCTGTGGAATTCTATCCCATTAAACATCCGGATTATACTGACCATCCAAGCCTTCAAAACAGCACTCAAGACACAACTCTTTATACTCTACTATTTGGACTCATTCTCACCCCCCTCTGACCGATTAACAATGCTCGATGCTGCTGGGTGCCGTCCATGGCTCGACAGGGGAGAATAGTACTTGGGTGGGCGAGGTCAACATTTTTACAAAGCTGCTTTAAATGAATAATTTTATGTAACTGTTTTTTAATGTCATGTTTCTCTTTTTCATAATTTTTATGTGAAGAACGGTGAGCATAGCCCTAGGCTGGGGTACCACAGTGAGCCTAGCCCTAGGCTGGGGTACCGTGCTATATAAGACCACTTTAATAATAATAATAATAATAATAATGAAAAACTATGACTCACTTAGACTTGTGATATTTTTAAGAATGAGAAGGATTGATCGCCTTATGGCTAAGTTTCTGTGCTTACTGTCCAGCATCTGCCAGTCAGAATGCAGAGTTAGTAGTTGAGAGATGCCTTCCATTCCAATGAGTCTTGCAGAATTACTTTCTGAAATACAAAAAAAAAACATTTGAATAGTAGAAGAAGGGCACTACATATTGTCAGAAATTAAGGGGGGAATAAATAAAAAATCTACAAACCAAAATGGTCAGACTTGCCTGTTGGTCTAAAATATTTATTTTTTTAAACTTACTAGATTTGGTCAAGTTACAGAGATTTTCAAGTGCTAATCTCAAATCCACAGTGTGCCTTTTGCCACAGTAGCTGATAACCTTGAACATTAAGTTAACAGCACTGTGTTTCCCAAGGTAAGATGCATTGACACCTGTAGATAACAAAAAAACAAAAAACAAGATTCATTTTTTTTTTAAACTAAGGGTTTTTATGATATACTTTGGGTTAAATTAAGTGGCACTGATATTGTAACACAATGTCACTGGCACACTGCTCATTTTTTTACACTTACTATTGCTGGTGTAGAGTTTGAGCACCTGAAGGAGAGGCTGAAGATTTCTGAAGTTGTGAGAATGAGCCTTCACCAAGTTTAATGTCAACATCAAGCTTTGATGAAGCCGCGCCTTCACCGCAAACTTACGATCTGAAATTTAAAAAAAATAAACTTAAACATACTACCCAATAGATTGATTCAAGGATGACCCTGTAAATCTACACTAGTCAGTACATTCAATAGTTTGCTTTGATTGGTAGTTATTGTGAAGCAATCTTCCATAATGTAAATTGTAGAGGTGACAAGGCATAATATTTTAATTATATTAAGCATCACTAACCCAAATAATACAAATAAATATTAATATTCATCTCCCACAATAAAAACTTTTATAAAGAACTTTTAATTTAAAAACATTAAATGAGATACCTGTTTATTTGACAGTGTCATCTAAAAGGAATATGTGACCTTCAGTTGTGTAGTGTATTGTTATGTTTTAATAGTAAAATTAACGTCCGATCAAGTCACTATTTTATGATAATTTGGCATTTTCCAGATTTATCTATAACCTAGGCTAGTGATCCATCGCTTGGATATTTTGCAAATTTTTCTAAATTAAGATGCAAATCCACATTTTTTACATAATCTCCAACTCACTTTTTTTTAAAATTGCTTTTCAACTATTGTCTTCTAATGTTATTTAATAAAAAAAAAATTAAAAAAAAGAGAGATCTCTGTATCACTTAAAATGATACAAATATGGGCAATGAAAAATCCTGAAGATTTAGTTTACCTCATTGTGGGATAGGTTAGGGGAGCGATAGCATATAACAATATAACATGAACTTTTCAAGACAGGAAGGGATCAGCTTACAGTAACTTTAAAACGGAATAGACAAAAGCTGTAATGTAATCAAAAGGACAGGAACTACCCACGGTTTCGTTTTGATTAATTATAAAGTTCAGCTTTTTTCCTCAAAAACAAAACAACAACAACGAATCTTCAATGAAATGACAAATTTCCTGAAATTTTCATGCTCTTGCCCTAACTATAGTAAAAAAAAATGTTAAATTACTTAGCTACATTTAAGTGAACAAGTGAATTAAATATTCATAACCTTTATGGCCGATTCGACTTAGCAAAGTATGGATTGAAATCAACACATCATCTGCTAAAACAATATCATTGGTGTGGGTCAGTTTGAGTATCTGAAACAGCACTGTGGTTAGCCCATGATTGACTAAAAGTGAAGCACGTTTTGATGGCTCTGGGGAAATCAACATAAAAGGTGCAACTAATATTACTAGCATATAAATAAATAGCTTGAAATATGACTTTAAAGTTTAATGTATGTAAACTAACAGTTGTACTATGTACTCAGATTAAAACGTTAAACTCTATCTTAATCATGACTTATATGCCAAATATAGAAAACAAATAAAAATGAGAAGCAGTGTATTTTCTAAAGAATAATTTTTTAAAAATTGATCACTTTCATTAAAAACAGATTTTACAAGAGATGCCTAGTAAAATATGCTGATGCAACCATTGCACTCTTTCTTTCTTAAATAAGTATTTGTAAATTATTATTGAATGGCTTATGTTACTGAAAGACTTACATTGTAAATAGGTATGCACACATCATTATTGAATTACTTACGTTGTTTTCCCACAAGGTCAAGAAAAATGTTGATTACATTTCCAAGAGTCTGTTCACAGGTGACAACCTGAAAATATTAATAAACAAGGTAAAAGTGATGTGGCTTAAATCTTCATTCATCATCAATTTGGATGTTTAGGAATACTTCTCATGTCACTGTCAACTTTTTTTATATATATTATTTCTACCAAAGTGTTGTATCCCTAGTGATATAATTTTATTGCACACTGCTAAAAGTGAATAGTACATTTTTTTTTAAAGAACATAATGTATTATATTTTAAAAGAGAAAGAGAATAAATACAGGAAACACTCTTATTTTCCAGTATTTTAAAGATACATGTTAATATTTATTAAAAATATTACCTATTTTAAAATCCATGTGTCTCCCATGTAACATTTTGCAGATATTGAACAATGGAGGTGGCACAAATTGGAACATTGTATTTTGTATACAGTTTTAAATTGGATAAGGCCAGCTCCATAATATACACCCTTTTTTTAAATACCTGTAGAACTGCAATAAGTGTGTCCATTGAAATAGTGTGTTTTGCAAATGCATCCTTGCTGGATTTTTCTTTGAAAAAAATAAACCAGAATCCATCTTTTGTAATCATATACATTATGATATAATTGGAATACATATATATCTAAATATTATTAGGGCCAGATATTAGGGTCTATCATAAATAATTTAACATTTCTAAGATATTTCAAGGAATTAGAGAATAATTATCTGACACAACAAGACTAACAAAACTATTATGATCTCTCAGATTTGTGCTAATGTCATAAAATTTTTCCTTTTATTCTCCAACACCCATGCATCTATGGTCTACTTTGCCAAAATTATGTAATATCGCTAGCCCTGGAATCCTTACATTACCATTCAGATTTTTTTTATTTTATTGAACAGCCTTTTCCTTAAAAGCCAATTAAAATAAATAAATAAACAAAAACCTTGTTCTTTGGAGAAAAAAAACATGAACAGAATAGCCATGAATATTTTAAAGGTCCATTCGATTGGCCATTCCGAAACTTACCAATTTGCTGTAATACTTGAAGCAATTTGTTGCTAGCAAATCGAATCTGATGAACATCTTCAGAGCTAGCCTTCTTTTGATTTTTATTCAGAATTTTAGCAATGTGTTGAACCCAGTAGTTTAATCTACTTCTGAAATAGATTAATGAAAATCCTTTAGCGACATTTTTATTTTATATAGCTTTCTTTTTAGTCTATTTTATTAAATAACGGGCTTTCAAAACTGCACTCAAGAATCATCTCTTCAAACTCTACTATCCCGTCTCATTCGCACCCCACTATGATCGTAAACGATGCGCAATGCTGCCGTTCATGGCTAAACAGGTTAAATAGTTCTGGGGTGGGCAAGTTCAATATTTTTTATTAATCTGTTTTTTAAATGAATAAATGTATGTAATTGTTTTTTAAAGACATGTTTATTTTTGCAAATTTGTTTGGGAAGCGCAGTGAGCCCAGCCATATATAAGAATATTGTAATAATAATAATTATAATAATAATAAATAATCATGTTCAAACAATTTTCACCCCCAAATTCATGCATTAAATTTATTATACAAAAGGAATATGGAATACCTGTCTAACACTTTGTCAGATGGTTCTGATGATGTTGAGCCACTCATGGTATCCTGAGGTCAGTAATTCAAACCTTAAAATAATAAAATACTCCTTTTTGTTATTATAATAAAGAGACGAATAATTATTTATCTTAGCAAACAATTTGAACTCTTTTTTATATATACAACATAAACTACATGTGATGAGTTTTAACAAAGCTGCTACATAGCCACTGTTAAAAGAAAACTAGATAGACAGGGGTGGAGATTTAGAGGCCATCAGTAATGATGTCATGAATTTAAGGGTGTGTGTGTGTGGGGGGGGGGTGTTGGGTTACATATTTTGTGACCATGTGTGATGAGGGTGTCCATGGGCAGAATTGGGGGGGGGGGGNGGGGGGTGGGGGGGGGGGTTTAAAAAAAAATATCTGAAACAGTGTGATGTTATTTTTGGTTTAAGTAACTATTTTTGTGCAAACAAAAATATTTTCTTACTCTATTTTCTTTTATTATAAGTTAAAGACAAGGTTATGAAAGACATTTTAGTTGTAAATGCTAGCAGGTCTGGGCCACATCTAGGCTAGCATCGATTAATAGGCAGATAACCAGTATTCAGCCTCAAAGTCTACAACATGAATATTCAGTAGGCCTCACACGGCTTGTGGCAGATCGCCAACTGTATTTCCTCATAACGCCTACCTGGCAGAAGCAGACAGAAGAAGAAACCTTTTTTTTACCAAATAATTGGAATATAGTAATATAGTATCAGCCTACCGCCTACCCAAAATTTAAATAAAATTAATATTACAATATGACAATAGTATTTATAGTGGTAAAAAATCAGCAAAATAGTGTGATGTTGTTATAAATGATTTATTTATTATGGATGGCCCCCTTCTAATAAATGACTGCTATTAAAATAACTAGTATTAGTATTAGCCTACTTATTAATTAAACTAATTTTGAGCATTAATAATTAATGCTAATACTAATACTAATACTATATACTATATTATATACTAATACTAACCATGACCATACTACTAGGCCATAATATGAATAATGAAATAAGGATCGCATTCAATTCATTCATTACCCTGAAAAGTCAGCCATTAAGGTAAAATACCAAAGTCATTTTTCTTAGCTTAAAAACAAAAAGCACTGCCTGGGTCGAGTGGGCAGTGCAATTAATGAAAATGTTAAAAATATAATTTTAACTGTCACAGAGGTAGCAGTTATTTAATAAAATATGATAAATATTCTTCAATTCTAACTTTTATTTTGGCTTTATTATTTTAAAAAACGTTTCAGCAAAGTTATTCAAATAAATAAGATACAAAATTAGCCTATGCATTACCATTAGCTAACTCAACTAACTGGTTAATATTCAGCACTCTCTCTGCCGTTGCTACACAAACCTATCGTCGCCATCTTGTTTCTATTATTAAGGTGGTTCTTGATCAGTAAACGTTGACAGAGCAGTAAAATTCTACCCCAATTAAAATCTTTAATAACTGCAGATTAATTTTCCGTGATTTAATGACCCAAAAAATAATTTGATACTAGTCTGACTCGCATTTACTGCTGTGAAGAAAATCCCAAAAGTAATAAGAAATAAATTATTTACGTCTCAAAAAACAAAGAAAAAAAAAAAGAGTAAAGAGAGAATTTTTTTTGTGTTAAAAGTTTACTCATAGTGCATAGTCATAGACCTACCTACTTTGCGCTATTAAGCCTACCAAGTGTTTCCCGAGACCTCTTCAAGCCACTACCGAGTTTTAGATCGGAATGGAACCCACATTCTCTCCTCCCGCCGACTCTTGAGAAATTACTTAATCACAACTATATAACAAAATGAAAGAATTAGACACGTTTCAAGAAGAGGGTAGGCATATGCCCGGGGTAAAAAAAGGGATGGGGGCACCTTTTTCCATATATTTTGGGCGACATTTTTAGGCTATACCCCGGGCGCCGCTTTTCCTGATTGTGAGTTTAGTCAAAGATTTTTAATAAATAAATCATCTGATCCCTCAGGAGCATTTAGTTAACAGAAGAGAATGTTGACAAAAAGGTAGACTCGGTGAATAAATGGAACATTTGGATAGCTTATTAAAGTGTAAGGGGCCTTGTGGATTTGTAACAGAAATCTATAGCCCGGGCTTCGCTCCAGCCAAACTTTTGTTGGCTCCCTCTCCACTCTAAGCTCCATTTAAGGGGAGGTTAAAGGACCGTTCAAAATTCATTTTGCGCTATTTTTGTCGATTTTTAATCCCTCCCATCCACACATGTCACAATCTGTCACAAATATTGCCCCCGCCCCCCTTTCCTTTCCCCCCAAAGTACGCACAAACTTTTCAACGAAAAATATTGTTAATAAATTGACAAAAAGATAAAAATGTATCTAAAACACACTTCACTATTAAACTTAGATGCTAGTAAGTGACATCTTCTGCCAGAATTCATCCAGCAAAACAGAAAGTTAAACACTACTGTTAATTTCCGGTTTAAAATGTATGATAAAAATACATTAATGTGTCAAGTTACATAATATGATCTTTACCCCCCCCCCACACACACACACAAACTTTTTATGTCACAAAATGTCACACTTTCTTAGACGCCCCTCCACCCCGTGAGACGAACTTTAAGGACAAATCCAAAAGGGTGGTAAAGAGGGTGTTAAGTGTTTAAAGAAATGTGTTGTTGCCTTTTTTGTCACTTACCCAAATCATTAACTAGGCGCTAGCAGTGCATGTACCAGCAAATTAACTGGTAGAAGAATGAGGCAAAATACCTGATAAAATGGGGCCCGATTGCAATGGAGTACCTAGAGCTTGGAACGCCAAGGACGTTCCTTACTTCTGGGAGATTTCCCCATTAACATACATTTGTCTAAATTTCTAAGTGCATTATTTTAATTTGGAGGCTGTGATATTTCGATAGCATAGCGTCGTCAATGTAAACTCGTTCACGAATGACACCTTTTTTTTACACACATGATAGGGAGGTCGCGTAATAATACATGTACTGAAAAATGAGCATGATTTTAAAAGTTGTGACAAGGCCTCTTTTTACATAAAAATATGGCATCTAATACATAATTGAACATTTGATCGTGTGCACTATGATAAACGCAAACACTACGTACCTACAAGTCTGAAGTTAACGAAAGGCGTACTTCTTCTGCCCTTTCTTTAATTCATGGGACAATTCAGAAATTAGCGATAGGATAGTGTACTACCTTGACCATATTGTCTCATTTGTTTTTGTTCAGGGGATAGCGCGAACGCAGTCCCCCCTACGAAAAAATTACGCACCCGAGTCACCCACATTTGGGGTGATCGCAGGGGTCAACCCATCCGAAGTGCAATGGACAGGCCTCGCCCTGGGAGGACCCCCTTCGTGATCAGGGTGCCTCCTGTGCCAGGTAAGTATGCTTGTTCATCGTGAAGTATTCCATGCCTTCTTAGGCCAGACGTTAGTATTGTCCTGTTTTTGAATAATTACATTTGTCTTTATATATATTATGATAAAGCTATTATTGAAAATATTTTACTTAATTAAAATAAAGACATATTTTTTCCATTTTAATTTGTTTTGTTTTGTGTGTTAATTGTTATTACGTTAAATTATTAGATTAAAATTTACATGTTTAGTGATTATTTTAGTGACTTCCCTTGATTCATAGTATTTTTTTAAAAAATTGCAATTACTTCCCCTTGAAAAGAGTTCATTGACAAAAAATTCAGCGGAGATTTAGAATATAGTAGACGTTTGATTTAACATATTAAATTCACTGGTGCACACGGGCGTAGTAAGTATCGTGTAGAAAAGCTCATTCATGTCATGCTTTCTCTCATAGCATCGTCAGTGGCGACAATCTACCCAAACAATTTTTTTATTATATTAAATTCAAGGGCCATTTTAGTTTCAGCTGAACTAAATTATTAATTATATATATTTTCTTGTTACAAATTTTTAATAACTATAATCAGCCAGAAATATTTAATTATGTGCTTATTTCCTTGAATGTTATTGAGCGTAAACTAAAATTAAGTTTTGAAAAAATATTGCTAGTTAGATATTAGAGTTAGCTATTTGAAGGATTTGTGGGTATTGTTAGGCCTGCTTGATTTCTGTCATCAACAATAGAGAAGACAATGAATAAGCCACTTTATATGTAATCCTTTCTTTACCTTGATGACTAAAATTAAATTGTTCTGATCTATTTGCAGTGAAATGGCACCAAGAAAAACAGCTACGATTCTGTGAGCTTAAGTACAGGTGGCTTGGAACAGATACTATTCTTGGAAACATGCTGGCAATGGAATCAAAGAGTAACATGACACCAGGTGGGTGTAAGACTGGAAGTATTGTAAGGTCTATATTATATATAATTGTTTTTTTATATTGAAATCACTATAGGCCCCACGAATAGATGCTCAATATTTCATCTATCTGCATTTATTAAAACAAATTAATACTATATTTATTGTTGATGGAGCAGTATGTAATTATATAACAATTATATCTAAAATTTTAACAGGTATAATAAATCTTCAGCAGCACCTCTAAGAGGAGGTAGTGGCGCTATGAATAGATGCTCAATATTTCATCTATCTGCATTTATTAAAACAAATTAATACTATATTTATTGTTGATGGAGCAGTATGTAATTATATAACAATTATATCTAAAATTTTAACAGGTATAATAAATCTTTAAAAAATAAAAAAAAAAAAAAAAAAAAAAAAAAAAATATTTTGGTTAAAAAAAAAAAAAAAACTAAAAAAAAAAAAAATTAACACATAAATCAAAACAAAATATATTATATGGGATAAATTTAAGTGTATTCTAATTAACGAATTTAAAATACTGTCAATGATCGGTTTGTCATATAATATATAAGCATATTTCAAAGAAAAATGTAAACTTGTTTGAGAAGGGACTGGTAGTCAAAAAGCTAATTTTATTTAAAATTTTATTTTATTTAAAAATAAAGTACATAACTAAGTCAGAATTTGTTTTGCTAATCAGATTTGAAAAAAAAGGGGGGCTTTAAAAAAAACAAATGAGACATTTTTTTTTTTTTTAAAGCTTTTGATGAGAAAATAGAGGTAAAATTTAGAAATTTTTTATAAGATAAGATTCTTTTATTGATCCAAACAAATGGAAATTTTTGATTGCATTGTACATTTTCAGTACATAAATAAAACAATTTGAACACAAGACATCTACATTGAATTATTTCACAGGTAAAAAAAAAAAATGCCATTCATTGAATTCTCTTAGCCATTTCTGGGACTTATTAGTTCTCATTAAGTTTTGAGACTTCAGGGGGAGCACACTGGTAAATTCTTATAGATTGGGGAACAAAAGAATTTTAATATCCTCACCCCTGAGAGAAAGAATTGGTCCTGAATGGGCCAATCCTAAGTATCTGTGAAGAGCATGTATCATCCAAAATGTGTTTAGTTTTATAATAACATCTTTCTTCAAATAGTTTTCAAGTGAAGGATGTTTAGTTTGTGTTATGTTCCTAGCTTTCTTGATTAGTCTGTTTATTCAGTATTTATTATCAGACGATGAATTCCCACACAAGCAAGTAATATTGAAATTAAGTAGGCTTCCAATTGTTGCACTGTAGAATAATTATAGGAAACAAAATATCTTAATAACCCCCAATCTGAATTTCAATTAAACTTGGCATGCATCTTTTAAAAAGGTCATCGCACAATATCTCAGAAGGAAATAGGAATAACTGTAACAAAAAATTTTTGGTGCTTATTTTCAAAAATTGTGTTGAAAAATAATCAGTCGTTTATGTAAACTGTTTCATCCAAAATTAAAATATTTTTTAAATCTCTTATTATAGAATAAAAACCCTCAATGAAATTGTAGATAAACATGTTAAAACATGTGTTGCAAATTTCTGTATAATCTGATAGGCGGTTTCTGAGATACACTGCTTTCAATAACTCAACACTTGTAAAATTTACACAACTGAGAAAATCAAAAAGTTTTTTTAATTGAAATAATTTATTTTTTAAAAATTTTAAGTGGCATAAAGTTATTTTATTTAATCACCTTTTCCTCTTGAAAATATGATAAATCAAAAATAAACTTAAAAAGTCTGTCTGTGGAAAAATATAATTGTTTATCCCCCCCCCCCCTCCCCAAAAAAAAAAAAATTAAAAAAATAAAAAAAATTCAAGGTTACACACAATTATTATATTAAAATACGCTTGAAAAAATTATCAAATAAAAATTCAAAATATGTTTAGTTTTTCATAATTTATTTCACTGTTATGGACTTCATGAAGAGAATAACAAATTCCCAATCAGCTCAATACAATGTATATTTTGCCGGACAACCTTCCCTTGCAAACATAACAATCAAGAACATAAAGTACAACACAAAAATCAGCCAAAACGAAGACTTTGGCTTGAATTTATGCAGCAAGTTCCTGAGCCAGACTTGGAAACGTGAAGAAGATCGGGTTGACGTATGTAGTCGTAGAGACGAAGAATTTTGGTAACGACGTTAACAAGAAAGAGGAAAGTTCAAAACGTTAAT